GCACAATTGTTGGTGGCCTGCAAAAAAAGTGGAGCTGTGAACGCTGCTAGACGCAACTATGAGCAATTTATGTTCTCAAGGGGCCACACGAGAAACTGGGACTGTTGTGGTCAGCCGAACCAATAGGGTTGTGAAGGTGTGCAGGCAGTCGCCTACAAAATAAAAGCAATGCAGTTGTATTGTGTGCATGGCTGAGTGCCCTTATTTATATTTGATTTCTAATTTCTGACTGATCTCATGTGGGTCGGGCAAGGATGGAGCCTAGGGGCCATAAAACACCCTGTTCTGTGCTAGGCCATGTCCAGTTTCAAGCAACTTTAAAAACAACATGGAAACCGCACAGTCGCCGGAGAGCATATAAATTTAATATCTAAATCCATCCATCGATCAACCAACCATTCCACCAAAAACTCTTTAGTCCCCATCCTTTTTTTTTAAATCAATCCTTAGTAGAGGAATGCAGTGAATGGAAAAGCTCATGAAGCATGTAAAACAATATGTCAATCTACAGATTTGCCAGAGCAGGACAAACAGAGATAAAAGTAGTCCAAAATTGGAATTAGACAAGGAGCAACTGAAATTCACGATGCCTCTTTTTCCTGTGCGAGGCACACAAAAAGTACACACAAACAAACTTCGCACTGGGGGAAAGAAAAAAATGATGACACTCAAAAGCCAACAGAGAGAACCCGGAGGAGAAGAAAGAAGATAGCCAAGTCTGCAGAGCATAGGTCAGGGATTCTTAACCTCCGAAGCTTTAAGAAGTGTGGACTTCAACTTCCAGAATCCCCCAGGCTAGTGTACTGGCTGGGATATCCTGGGTGTTGAAGTCCACATTTCTTAAAAGTACTGAGCTTGAGAAACATTAAACATAGAGCAGTGGTTCTCAACCTTTTTAATGCTGTGACCACCCAACCGGTCGTAAGTCGAGGACTACACAACCGGTCGTAAGTCGAGGACTACACAACCAGTCGTAAGTTGAGGACTTTCCCTGCCCGGGAGTGCCGCGCATGCGTGATGCCGCCCTCTGCGCCGGCCGAGGCGTAGCTGGCAAGCAGCAGAGACGGAGCAGGCCGACCACCGGCTGGGCCACCAGCTGGCCCAGCCCAAGGGAGGTAAGGCACCCGCCGGGCCCCACACGTGCCAGCAACCCTCCCTGCGCCTGCCTGCCTCCCACCTCTGGCCCTCTTTTATTTATATTTTTAGTAGTTGTTCAGCAGGGAGGGGTGGAAACTTCCAGACAGCTCGCCTTCGCCGCAGACAACTTGCAGCACCGTTTGCAGACTGGGACTTTTGGCGGGCTCAAACAGGGCAGAGACAGCCTGGACAATTCCTATTGGCTTTTGAAAGCCAATAGAATTAGACTCTATTCAAGAGAGTCTATTCTATTGGCTTTCAAAAGCCAATAGAATAAAAGGGAGTAGCACAGCTAAGGAAAAGGGGGAAAAATGGCGGACTACCTGTCGTGACCCACTGGTTGAGAACCGCTGACATAGAGTAACAGAGCTGGAAGGGAACGTGGAGGTCTTCTAGTCCAACCCGCTGCTCAAGCAGGAGACTCTATATCAGGGGTCTTCAAACTTGGCCCTTTTATGACTTGTGGACTTCAACTGCCAGAATTCCTCAGCCAGGCACGCTGGCTGAGGAATTCTGGGAGTTGAAGTCCACAAGTCATAAAAGGGCCAAGTTTGAAGACCCCTGCTCTATACTATTTCAGACAATTGGCTGTCCAATTTTTTCTTAAAAACCTCCCTTGATGGGGCACCTACAACCTCTGAAAGTTGTCAGAAATTGATCCGTGTCATAAAAGCCAATTAGGAAAGGTTGGGAGTAGAGAGAGCTGCAAGTCAGGGGTGTCTGCGGGGTGCTGTCAAAAAAGGTCAAGAGGGCAGTCACAATCACGGAGTCGAATCTCTTCCTGCTTTTTATGAAAATGTCACATATAAACAACAGCATTGACTAACCCTTTGTGTGCACCCACTTGGTTTCTCAGACCAGTACCTTGCAAACCATCCCTGAAGCTGCAGAGGGAACAGTTCCTCCAAAGCAGGGGTCTTCATACTCGGCCCTTTTATGATTCGTGGACCTCAACTCCCAGAATTCCTCAGCTAGGAACGCTGGCTGAGGAATTCTGGGAGTCGAAGGCCACGAGTCATAAAAGGGCTCAGTTGGAAGACCCCTGCTCCAAAGAGAACTCAGGGAGAACAACACAAAAGGAAGAACAGCCAGGGCACGGATGAGGATTAATCCGTCCTTTAGATATCCTGGCTTTGACAGATAAAAAAAGTCCCAATCTTTTCAAGGCATTCCAATCTTTCCTCCACTGCCTTAAAGTGCTGGCCTAGAACCCAGGAGATTGAGTTTTACGTCTCTCTTGGCCATGAAAGTTGACTGGGTGACTTTGGACCACCCCTTCTCCTTCCGTCCAACCCATCTCACAGGGTTGTTAGTGTGGGGAAAATAGGCAGGGCAGTTAGGTGTATTCATTGCCCTGAGCTGTACATATGTATATAACCCGAGATATTGGAACATAGCAGTATTCCAGTATCTCAGAGGCTGCTCCAGAGAAGAGGGAGTCAAGCTATTCTCCAAAGCCCCTGAAGGCAGAACAAGAAGCAACGGATGGAAACTAATCAAAGAGAGAAGCAACCTAGAACTAAGGAGAAACTTCGTGACAGTCAGAACAATTAACTAGTGGAACAACCTGCTTCCAGAAGTGGTGAATGCTCCAACACTGGAAGTTTTAAAGAAGAGACTGGACAGCCATTTGTCTGAAATGGTATAGGGTTTCCTACCTGAGCAGGGGGTTGGACTAGATGACCTCCAAGGTCCCTTGCAACATCATCATCATTATATACATGTGTGTGGGTGTCTATCTATACACATACATACAGGAAGTCCTCGACTTACAAGACTTCCTTTAGTGACCAATCAAAGTTACAACAGCGCTAAAAAAAGTGACTTATGACCATTTTTCACAAGACCATTGCAGCCTCCCCATGGTCATGTGATCAAAATTCAGGTGTTTGGCAACCGACTCCTATTTATGATGGTTGCAGCGTCCTGGGGCCAGGTGATCAGCTTCTGCAACCTTCTGACAAGCAAAATCGACGGGGAAACCAGATTCACTTAACCACCCTGTTACTAACTTAACAACTGCAACGATTCACTTAACAACTGTGGCAAGAAAGGTCGCAACATGGGGGAAAACTCACTGAACAAACGTTTCACTTTGCAATATAAATGTTGGGCTCAATTGTGGTCATAGGTTGAGGACTACCTGCATTCATTGCCCTGAGTTATACATATATATGTATGTGTGTGTATCCATCCATCCGCTTGGGGAGGGGATAATGGGCATGTAGTGGAAGATGGGTACAAGATTCCTCTTTCTTTTGACCAGCAAGTGCTCCCTGCTTTGGGGAATCCGATCTTCCTGGTACTCTGGCATCTCTCTGCTGTATTATTATATTATCTATCTATCTATCTATCTATCTATCTATCTATCTATCTATCTATCTATCTATCTATCCATCCATCCATCTACACAACATACACACATATACATGTATATACATATACATACATATTTACAAGTATACAAATATATACATGTACATATACATACATATATACGTATACATGTATATATACATGTAAATACATATGTATATACGTATACACAAACACATGCACACATTTATACCTATAAAAGGCAGGATAAAAATATTAATACAATAACAATAACATTTATAAGAATACAGCAGAGAGATGCCAGAGTACCAGGAAGATAAGGAGCACTGGCAGGTCAGAGTCAGAGGAAAGAGGAATCTTGTACCCATGTTCCACTACGTGCCCATCATCCCCTTCTCTCCGCCCCCCCCCCAGCTGCTCAGTTCCTATTTATCTGAAGGCGGCCGGGGCAGCAGGAGGGACCCCCCCCGGTCTGGCTGCTCCTTGGAGCCCGGGAGTCCCTCAGGGGCCGACCCGGGTCGGCGTCTCGTGCGAACGCAGCGCCCGCGGGAAGCCCGGCCGGAGCGGCCCGATCCAAGCAAGGTTGCGAGGCGAAGCCCCCGACGGAGCAGGACAAAAGGGCCCGACGCCCCCCGAGGCCGAGAGAAAGGAGGCGGCTCACCCCGGCAACGCGAGAGGCAGGCCCGGCCAGGCCACGAGAAGCGGCGGCGGCGGCGGCCCGGAGAAAAGCGAAGCGGGCCCGGCGAGGCTTCGAAGGCCCGCTCGTGCTCCCAGGAGCCGCTCGGGCCCGCGGCTGAGGGAGGCGGCCGGGCTGGGCTGGGCTTACCTTGCTCGCCGGGCTCCTGCGGCGGCTGCAAGACGCGCTCCAGCTCCGGGAAGGGCAGGTCGGGCAGGTCGAGGAGGGCGCCGTACCTCTCCAGGAAGGAGCAGACGACGGCGAAGTTGGGCCACGAGCCCGGGCAGGGCGAGCCCTCCGACGACGGCGGGGCGGCGGGGAAAGGCGGGGAGGGGGGAGCCGCCGCCGCCGCCGCCGCAGCCGCCATCTTGGAACCTGAGAGGATGGATGGAGGAGGAGGAGGAGGAGGAGGGGGAGAGGCGGGTCCGGCGGGCGCGCGGAGGAGGAAGGCAGGGGGCGCTGTGACGGGAAGAGGCCTGCCCCACCTCCTCCCGGCGGCATTCTCCCGTCAGGCCCCGCGAGAGGAGGCGAGGAGAGGCGCCGCGAAAGGGCGGGAGCGCTGGGAAAGAGCGGCCCGCAGAGCTGGCCCCGCTCTCTCGTTGGTTAGCCCTTCGGGCTGATTGACACAGGAACCAAAACGACGCTTGCGTTGGGGAGGCCAGGGGAGGGGCGGGGAGGGGAGGGGAGGGGGGCAGAAGGGGAAAGGGGCGGGGAGAGAACGCCGCCTGAGCCAATCTCGCCGGCGGCGACATAGAAAGGGGCCCAATCATAGTAGAAGGCTCGAGGGAGGCGGCCGCCGAGACTCCGCCCGCCCCACAAAAAGGGGGCCTGGCCGTAAGTGGCGCGCGTGCCCCGGGGAGGGGTGTGAAAAGCGGGGAGGCCCGATGTTATGGAGAGGTTTGTTAGTGGGCGCGGCCCGTGTTTGTCACATCGCCTTTGGCCAATGAGGGGCATGAGGGGGCGTTTCCTCCCGGACAGGGGAGCGACAGGTCCGTGGCCTGGACAGGTGAGCGGACTACAAACCCCCACGCTGTGGATGATGGGAACTGTAGTCTGGCGGATCTGTGGAGGGCCGCCTTCTTGGGTGGGAGGGCTTGTCAGCTGCCTTTGGAATACAAAACAGTCCTCGACTTACGGCCACAATCGAGCCCCAAGATTTCTGTTGGGAAGCGAGACTGTTGTTAAGTAAATTTGCCCCATTTTACGACCACAGTTCTTAAGTGAATGACTGCACATGCTAAATTAGTAAGATGGTTGTTAAGTGAGTTTGGTTCTCCCCCATGGGCTTTGCTGGTCAGAAGGTCACAAAAGGAGATCACGTGACCCCCGGGGACACTGCAACTGTCATAAATACGAGTCAGTTGCCGAGCGTCTTGAATTTTCATCACAGGACCTGGGGGGACGCTGCAATGGTCGTTAAGTGTGAAAATCGGTCACAAGTCACTTTTCTCAGTGCCGTTGTAACTTTAAACAGTCACTAAACAAACTGTTGTAAGTCGAGGACAGCCTGTACAAACCGCCTAGAGTCCCTTCAGCTGGAATGGCCAGTGTAGAAATTTGACAAATAAATAAAATAACACTAAAACAGGCAGGTTGTAAAATATGGTAATAGAATAAAATAGAACAGAGAACAGAGAACAGAACAGAACAGAACAGAACAGAACAGAACAGAATAGAATAGATGGAGTACAGGACTACTCAACTGGTGCAGCACCGTTTGCAGAATGGGACTTTTGGCAGGCTCAGCAGGGCAGAGACAGCTTGGACAATTCCTATTGGCTTTTGAAAGCCAATAGAATTAGACTCTATTCAAGAGAGTCTATTCTATTGGCTTTCAAAAGCCAATAGAATAAAAGGGAGTAGCACAGCTAAGGAAAAGGGGGAAGAAAATGGCGGACTGCGTTGTTTGGCGACCCCTGTGAAATGGTTGTTCAACCCCAAATGGGGTCCTGACCCACAGGTTGAGAACCACTGTAATAAGATGTCAAATTAGTTAAAATTCACAGCTCCTGGAGACAAGCAGTTCCACTGGTTAATTATTCTAACTGTCAGGAAGTTTCTCCTTAGTTCCAGGTTGCTTCTCTCCTTGATTAGTTTCCATCTGTTGATTCTTCTCCTGCCTTCAGGGGCTTTGGAGAATAGCTTGACTCTCTCTTCTTTGGGGCAGCCCCTGAGATACTGGAACACTGCTATCATGTCCCCCCTTGCCCTTCTGTTCATTAAACTAGACATACCCAATTCCAGCAATATGTTATCATTTTTGTTGCTCTTCTCTGCACTCTTTGTAGACTCTCAACATCTTTTTTACATGGTGGGGACTAAAACTGGATGCCGGATTCTAAGCGTGGCCTTACCAAGGCCTTGCAAAGTGGTATTAACACTTCCCGTGATCTTGATTCTGTCCCTCTGTTCGTGCATCCTAGAACTTAAAAAGCCTATCTCCTTCTCTTTGATGGGTTATTTTAGAAGTCAGCAATTAAGGCAACTTTAGGACCTGTGGACTTCAACTCCCAGCTATGCAGGCTCAGGAATTCTGGGAGTTGAAGTCCTCATGCCTTAAAATTGTCAAGTTTGGGAAACACTGTTTTAACTCTTATTCTTCTCTCTCCCTTTCAGACATCCACCCGGCTATGTCTTCCCCCGAAATTGCCTCCCTCTCATGGGGACGGATGACCGTGAGAGGCTGCCCCACTACCTATAAAGACTGTAAAGTGTGGCCTGGAGGCAGCCGGACATGGGATTGGAGAGAAACAGGCACGGAGGTAGGTATCTTGGCCCATCCTGGGAGAATTCCTTTGGGGTCTCCTTTGTCATCGTCAGGCAGTTTGATGCCCCAGAAAGAATCCCAGCTTTGTCCAGCCAAAAGGAGTGAGACTTGGGAATTCCCTCAGAGCCTGCGGTTAAGCAAGCTAGAAAAAATGTGGCCTCCATCTTATCTGATTCCTGCACATGCTTCCTATGTTGGACCAGTCAGTTAGCTTAAGAACTGTATGTTAAAGCAGTTAACATTTAGAGGGTTAAACGCTGTTTCCTTAAGAGATGGCTTATGAGTAATGTAGTTTTAGCTGTTAGTTAATCCTATAGTTCATCTAGACCAGGGGTGTCAAACTCAATTTCACTGAGGGTCGCATCAGCATTGCTGTTGCCCTCGGGGGGGGGGAGATGTGGCCTACTGCGTGGGCATGGCCAGCTCTACATCGTTTGCGTCAAGGGTGCCTGTGGGGGCCTGGGCAGGAGTGGGACAGATCTGACGGTCTCTGGCAGAAGGGGGTGGGACTGGGGCAAGCACCAAGGCATGGTCCATTTCTGCATTTCTCACAAAGGGGGACACCTCCCCAGCATGCACCCAGGAGGCGGGGCCAACGCGGCAGGGGGTGGTTCCTCGCTGTTTCCAGACAGCCTTGTGGAGCTAAGACTGAATGCGTTTCAGCATAGATGGCCACCACAAAATTGTACATTGGCTCCCGGCCGGTTTGGGCCAGGGCAAGGCAGCAGGGGCCGTTCCCTCATTGTTTCCAGGATGCCTTCACAGGCCACATGAAACCACTTCGCAGGCCGCATCCGGCCCCCGGGCCTTGTGTTTGACATGTCTGGCCTAGAGTCTTTTTCTCATGCTTGAGCAGCAGGTTGGACTAGATGACCTCCAAGGTCCCTTCCAACTCTTGTCACGCTGTTCCTGCTACCTGCAGCCGGGTCTGGACGTTGAGGGGAAGGAGGCTGAATTTACAGCCTGTGAAGAAGTTCATTTTGCGATGACTCCTGTGTAAAAGCCACTGGGTGTCCTGAGACCTCAGACGCTGGTCCTATGGGAGTGGCTGGGCTGAGATCTCTAGCAACATGTAAGGTTTACACGCAGAAGGGGGAAATCCATTGTGCTTTTACCTGTGAAATGAGTCCATATTACTACCTACATTCTGGAAGAACTACCTACTACATAACCGTGAGTTAATGTTTTGAGGATACCTGGAATCAAAGCAATCTTTGTTTTGACTTATTCATCGAGTTCTCTGTCTGTGTCAAGTGGAACCTAGTAGCCTTCTCTACGTGAGGCAGAATAGTAAAAGAACAATGGATATTCCCCCTTCTTCCCAAACCTGGATAAATTACCCCAAATTGAATAAAAATGTTTTTTTCTTTCGGGTAAAGACACACAAACTTATTATCCGTGACAACTGGGACATTTAAACTGAGTTTTAGATGGCCATGTATACAGGTGGTGCTTGCCTTACTTAAAACAGTTCATTTAGTGACTGAAGTTACTACCACCACCACCAAAAAAAGCGACTTACCATTGTTTTTCACACTTAATGATTGTATTAGCCTCCCTATGGTCACGTGATCAGACTTCAGATGTGTGGCAACTGACATGTGTTTAGGTATGTATAGTATAATATGCTTAGGTGTATGTCATGTATGTGTTTTTTTACTTTGAGAGCAGGCAACTAAATTTCATTTTTGATGTGTGCTGTTGTGCCCACAGTAAAAAAAATGACAATAAAGGTTATCTTATCTTATCTTATGACGGTGGCAGTGTCCTGGATCATGTGAGGACTACCTACCTATACATTAAAATCCCTTTTTTTTTTTCTTTTCTTTTTCCCCACAGAATTGTAATGGGTCACTGTTAAAAGGAGGCTACAGTTTTTAGAGGTGGGAGAAAAATGTTTTCCTTGCGCCTTGTTCAGACACCGATTCTTTCTTTATCAATTGTCATTTCCCCCCGCCCCACTGAGAAAAAAATAAATCCCTGCACAGTGATTTTTGGATTAAAAAAAAACAACGGAATGGAAGTCTAATCGCATCTTAAAAAAATTTTTCACCTTCCATGCATCCCCTCCTGGCACTTCCTTCCTCAGAAGACTGGACTTGTTCCTTTAGGCCAGGGGTAGGCAACCTTGGCTGTTTTATGACTCATGGACTTCAACTCCCAGAATTCCTGAGCCAGCATGGGGAAACTATGGCCCCTTCATGACTTGTGGACTTCAACTCCCAGAATTCCTGAGCCAGCCATGCTGAGGGGAAAGGGAGAGGTTTCCAAGCTGAGCCACGTTGGCTCAGGAATTCTGGGAGTTGAAGTCCACGAGTTATAAAAGAGCCAAGGTTGCCTACCCCTGGCCTAGCCCACTGTTTCTCAGCCTTGGGTACTTTAAGAGATGTGGACTTCAACTCCCAGAATTCCTGAGCCAGCTTGGGAGAACTATGGCCCCTTTATGACTTGTGGACTTCAACTCCCAGAATTCCTGAGCCATCATGGAGGAACTATGGCCCCTTCATGACTCGTGGACTTCAACTCCCAGAATTCCTCAGCCAGCATGGGGGAACTATGGCCCCCTCATGACCTGTGGACTTCAACTCCCAGAATTTCTGAGCCATCATGGGGGAACTATGGCCCCTTCATGACTCGTGGACTTCAACTCCCAGAATTCCTCAGCCAGCATGGGGGAACTATGGCCCCTTTATGATTCGTGGACTTCAACTCCCAGAATTCCTCAGCCAGCATGGGGGAACTATGGCCCCTCATGACTCGTGGACTTCAACTCCCAGAATTCCTGAGCCAGCATGGCTCAGCTTGGAAACCTCTCCCTTTCCCCTCAGCATGGCTGGCTCAGGAATTCTGGGAGTTGAAGTCCATGAGTCATAAAAGAGCCAAGGTTGCCTACCGCTACTTTAGGCTGTGGGATGATTTTAATGAACTTTTTTTTTAATAATTGGTTTTTAATTCATCCTTCCTTTGGATATAGAGAAAAAAAATTAAAAATAACTATTTTTATGTTATTTTATTGGCACACGTCCCAGAGTCCCTCTGTGAGGGAGAAGGCTGATTTCAAATGTTGATTAAAATGGAAATTAATAAATAAAAGCTTGTTAAAAATAAACATACTCACGCACACCCACAGGCCTACTAGGAGCAGCTGCAGAGCCGGAAGGCTGCAGTAGTTTATTATGCAAATTTGCATACAAATTACAATGAGAAGGCAGAAGGGAAATAAGCAAACAGGCTTAAAAAAAAAAAGTCAGATCTGCCTCAACAAAGCTGTCATTTACCAGAAGAGGTTAATTCGATCAGTGGGAAATCAGGCCAGTAAAACACTTAAATTCTTCTGCTTCGTGGAATCAGATTCTACAAAAGGGTTTGGGAATAGGGATAAGTAGAAAAAGCTGACTGGTGTGGGTGTGGGTGGGTGCGCGCGCATATGTGCCCCCAACAATCTGGGTCCTCATTTTACTGACCTCAGAAGAAGGGAAGGCTGAGTCAACCTTCAGCAGGTCAGGATCAAACTGCTGGCAGTCGGCAGAATTAGCCTGCAGTACTGCATTCTAACCACTATGGCGCTATGCCTTCCTTCCCTCCCTCCCTTCCTTCCCTCCCCTTTCTACCCTCCTTCCTTTCCTTCCCTCCCTCCCTCCCTTCCTTTCTACCTTCCTTCCGTTCCTTCCTTTCCCTTTCTCCCTTCCTTTCTATCCTTCCTTTCCTTCCCACCCTTCCTTCCTCCCTTTCTACCTTCCTTCCTTCCCTCTCCTTTTTTCCTTCCCTTCCTCCCTTCCCAATAACATTTAAACTTATATGCATATATACAAGGTTAAACTTATATACCGCTTCACAGTGCTTTATGGCCCTGCAATGCTGCATTCTAACTATTGCACCATCACAGCTCCTCCCTCCCTCCCTCCCTCCCTTCCCTCCTTCCCAATAGGCCTTAGACTTATATACTACTTTATAATGCTTTACAGCCCTCTCTAAGCAGTTTACAGAATCAGCATATTTCCCCCCCCCCCCAACAATCTGGGTCCTCATTTTACCTACCTCGGAAGGAGGAAAGGCTGAGTCAACCTTGAGCTGGTCAGACTGTCTTTTTTTTTTTCCAGTACTGTGGTAATTTCAAACGGCCACTAAACGAATGGTTGTAAGTCAAGGACTATCTGTATCTGTATCATCAAAAGGGCTGCAGAAGCTTCCCTGCCTCCACTACAGCAGAAGGAGCCATGAAGTTCCAGGTTGATCCTTGAAGGGTGGCAATTCTCAACCTGCGCTCCCCCCAGTTCTAGTGAAATCAACACAGGTAGTTCTCAACTTACAACATTTCATTTAATGACCGTTCGACGTTCCAACGGCACTGAAAAAAGTGTCTCACGATCGTTTTCCACACTTATGACTGCTGCAGCCTCCCCGTGATCACATGATTTACATTCAGATGCTTGACAACTGGGATCATATTTATGACAATTCCAGTGTCCCAGATCATGTGATCCCCACTGTCATGTGATCAAAGTTCAGATGCTTGGTGACTGACTCGTATTTATGATGGTTGGCAGTGTCCCGGGGTCATGTGATCCCCTTTTGCGACCTTCTGACAAGCAAAGTCAATGGGGGAAGCCAGATTCACTCAACCACCCTGTTCCTAATTTAACAACTGCAGTCATTCCCTTAACAAATATGGCAGGAAAAGTCATCAAATGGGGCAAGAGTCACTCCATGGATTTTTCACTTAGCAACATCGATTCTGGGCTCAGTCGTGCTCGTACGTCGAGGACAGTGGTGGAATTCAAATACTTGAACAACCGGTTCTCTTATTCGATGCAGGCCTGGGCCTCTGAGGCCTAGAACGGACTTCCGGAAGTGGCATCCACGCACTTCCGGTGGGCCGTTCTAGGCCTGGGAGGCCTCCTCCAGGTCTTTGAGGCCTAGAACAGACTTCCAAAAGTGGCATCCACGCACTTCCGCTGGACTGTTCTAGGGCTGGGAGGCCTCCAGGTCTTTGAGGCCTAGAACAGACTTCCGGAAGTGGCATCCACGCACTTCCGCTGGACTGTTCTAGGGCTGGGAGGCCTCCAGGTCTTTGAGGCCTAGAACAGACTTCCGGAAGTGGCATCCACGCACTTCCGCTGGACTGTTCTAGGCCTGGGAGGCCTCCAGGTCTTTGAGGCCTAAAACAGACTTCCAGAAGTGACATCCACACACGTCCGGCAGGCCTAGACTGGATTTCTGGAAGCCCGCCGGTTCTCCGAATGCAGCAAAAATTAGCTACCGGTTCTGCCAAACTGATGCGAACCGGCTGAATCCCATCACTGGTCGAGGACCTTCCCGTATTAATTTGGTGCCATGGCAAAACCATCTCCCCTTAACGTCTCTTTTTTTTCCCCCTACCCAGCATGTCCCTGGAGTTCAGCCTGCAGATGTGAAAGAAGTTCTTGAAAAGGATGTGAAAACATTAGTCATCGGTCGGGGCATGAGCGAGGCCTTGCAGGTAGGTTTTCTCAGGTGAGATGAGCCCTGAGCAAGGATCTGCTTCCCCGCTAGGCGAGAATAATCTGTATTCATCAAAGCAGAGAAGAGCAACAAAGATGATTAGGGGACTGGAGGCTAAAACATATGAAGAACGGCTGAAGGAACTGGGCATGGTTAGTCTAGGGAAGTGAAGGACCAGGGGTAGACATGATAGCAGTCTCCCAATATCTCAGGGGCTGCCACACACAGGAGGGGGATCAACCTATTCTCCGAAACACCTGAAGGCAGGTCAAAGAATAATGGATGGAAATTGACCAAGGAGAGAAGCAACCTGAAATTGAGGAGAAACTTCCTGACAGTGAGGACAATCAAGCAGTAGAACAGAAATCGTGGGCGCCCCATCGCTGGAGGTTTTCAAAAAGAGACTGGACAATCACCTGTCTTGAGATGTTATAGGTTCCAGGGGGCTGGACTAGAAGACCTCCAAGGTCCCTTCCAGCTCCAGTCTATTCTAACCTGGACACACCATGCTTCAGTTATTACAGCCCAAGACCCGCATTGGCAAGTTTAGCTGATCACCAAATGTAGTAAGATCACTTGTGGGGCCCTTGCAAACCCATCAGCAGCTTGGAATACCTTCCGGGGTGCGGGGTTACGGCCGATCCCTTGAATGGAGTTCGGAGGGGATGACGGCCGTCAAACTCTTGGGAAAGAGCTCTGTTAAGGACGGTCAGTCTTGAAGGCTCCTTGAGACCTCTGGGTGGTTGCAGAGCTTTCTGGGTTATCGGCTGGAGGGGATCGAGGGTGAGAAAGGATGCGTCTCCCTCACCTTTGTGGGGGCCTAACGGAGTCTGACTGGGAGGGAGAAAAAAAAAAAACGATGGAGGGAGTTGGTCGTTGGGGTATGGAGGAGTATTGAGGTGGCCTTGAGATAGGAATTCAATTCAGTGACCGTTCTGTAAATATCAGGCTGGCATGAACAGAAAGGAGGGGGGGGGAATTCAAGATTGCCCCATCTCTTTTTTCTTTAGTATTGGGGAGAAAGGAAGGGGAAGGGGAAAGGAAGAAGATTGGAGGGGAGGGAAGGAGGAAGGAAGGAAAGGAAAGGAAAAGGGAGGGGAGAGGAATAGGATGGGAAGGGAAGGAGAGGAAAAAGATGGGAAGGGAAGGAGAGGGGAAGGGAAAAGAAAGGGAAGGAAGGGGGAGAGGAAAGGAAAAGGATGGGAAGGAAAAGGAGCAGAAGGAAAGGGAAGGGGAAAGGAAAGGGATGGGAAGGGAAGGAGAGGGGAAGAGAAAAGGATAGGAAGCAAAGGGATGGAAAAGGAAGGAAAGGTGAGGGGAAAGGAAAGGAAAAGGATGGGAAGAAAAGGAAAGGGGAGGGGAGGGGAAGGAAAAGGAGGGGAAGGAAATGGAGGGGAAGGAAAGGGGAGGGGAGGGGAAGGAAAAAGATGGGAAGGGAAGGAGAGGGGAAGGGAAAAGAAAAGGATGGGGAAAAAAAGGAAAGGGGAGGGGAGGGGAGGGGAAGGAAAGGGAAGGGGAAGGAAAAAGATGGGAAGGAGAGGGGAAGGGAAAAGAAAAGGATGGGAAGGAAAGGGATGGAAAAGGAAGGAAAGGTGAGGAGAAAAGAAGGGAAGGAAAGGAAAGGGAAAGGAAAGGGGGTCCATTTGAACGACAGGCAGTCCTGGACCTACAATTTTAGTGACCGTTCAGCGTTAACAGCCCTGAAAAAAGTGACTTATAACAGGTTTGCCACACTTATGACAACATCTCTGTGGCCCCACGATCAAAATTCAGACGCTTGGCAACTGACTCATATTTACGACGGTTGCCATGTCCCCAGGGTCACGTGATCCCTTTTGGCGACCTTCTGACAAGCAAAGTCATTGGGGGAAGCCAGATTCAGTTCACCACCGTGTTACTAACAACTACTGCAGCAATTCGCTTAAGAACCATGGCAAGAAAGGTCATAAAATGGGGCAAAGCTCACCTAACAACCATCTCGCTCAGCAACAGAAATTGTGGGCTCCATTGTGGTCATTACGTCGAGGCCTGCCTGTACTGAAGCTGTAGTGCTGTACGGCTTAATAACAATTTCGAAATTACTGACATTTTACCTCAGGGGTCTTCAAAGTTGGCCCTTTTATGACTTGTGGACTTCAACTCCCAGAATTCCTGAGTCAGCATGAGGGAACTATGGCCCCTTCATGACTTGCGGACTTCAACTCCCAGAATTCCTAAGCCGGCATGAGGGAACTATGGCTCTTTTATGACTTGCAGACTTCAACTCCCACAATTCCTGTGCCAGCATGAGGGAACTATGGCCCCTTCATGACTCGCGGACTTCAACTCCCAGAATTCCTGAGCCAGCATGGGGAAACTATGGCCCCTTCATGACTTGCAGACTTCAACTCCCAGAATTCCTCAGCCAGCATGGGGGAACTATGGCCCCTCCATAACTTGCGGACTTCAATTCCCAGAATTCCTCAGCCAGCATGGGGGAACTATGGCCCCTTGATGACTTGTGGACTTCCAGAATTCCTCAGCCAACATGCCTGGCTGAGGAATTCTGGGAGTTGAAGTCCACAAGTCATAAAAGGGCCACGTTTGAAGCTTTACCTGATCCTGTAGGGTTATTTTTATGTCCTTACACCCTGTTGCACCAGCACGCTTCCTTTTTAATCAATGGTAAACATGTTTGAGGTTCTGCTATAGATGTAAAAGTGGGTTAATTCTATTTTAATAAAGAAAATTGCTCCAACGATGCCACAGATTTTCATTGGTTTTTTTTCTCTCCCACCCCCCCCAGGTCCCGCCAGCCACAGTGGAGTATCTGAGGAAGCATGGGATTGATGTGATGGTCTTGCAAACGGAGCAGGCTGTGAAAGAATATAATATTTTGGCTTCCCAGGGAGTCAGAGTGGGCGGAGTCTTCCATTCTACCTGTTAGAGCAGGGGTCCTCAACCTTGGCAACTTTTAAGATTTGTGGACTTCAACTCCCAGAATTCTGGGAGTTGGTCCACAAGTCTTAAAGTTGCCAAGGTTGGAGACCCCTGTGTTAGAGGGCAGACACAAAACCCCTCTCTCCGTCTTCCACCTGGCTCCTACGAGGAAATTAAAAGGAACATTTTCTCTGTGTGTGCTGTGCCAACTTTTGAACACGTTCCAGCCAGGAATAAAACCATTTGCCCAAAAAAAATAAAGGCCCCAGCCAATTTTATCGGCTTGTGTTTAAGTGCATAAAGGAAAACTAGACGGAAGGTGTCAGCCTTGCTAGGTAGACCAGATGGGGGGGGAAAACACAACCAGACAAGCTAATTCTACATTATTGTAAAATTACATTAAGGAACAACCTGCCTCCAGAAATTGGGAATGCTCCAACACTGGACGTTTTTAAGAAGAGACTGCACAACCATTTGTCCCAAATGATATAGGGCACAGGTTGGCAACCTGCGGCTCCGGAGCCGCATGCGGCTCTTTGAGCCTTCCCCTGCGGCTCCCAGCCTCCTCTGCCTTTGCAGAGTGAGACAGAGACAGAGAGAGGCAATTGCGCTTCCCTGCTTCTCTCTCTCTCTCTCTCTCTCTCTCTCTCTCTCTCTCTCTCTGTGTGTGTGTGTGTGTGTGTGCGTGCGTAAGTAAAAGAGAGTGCACTCACAGTGTTCTCCGAGGAGCTGAAAAGTTTACTGGGCGGAGCTCCTCCCTTTGCTGCGTCTCTGCAGGAAGCAGGAAGGGCAGAGAGAGCTAGCTAGCCCAGCTAGGCTGACTCAGGAATTCTGGGTCAGTCCATGAGTCATAAAAGAGACGAGGTTGCTTACCCCTGAGCTTGTTGGACAACAGCTTGAAGCTTGCCAGGTGAGCAGCAGATAGGAGGGGGGGAGAAAGAAAGAGAGAGAGGAAGGGAGAGGGGGGGGAAGAGGAGTGGCAGACCAAGGGCAGAGAGGGAGGGAGGGAGGGAGAGAGAGAGAGACCCTTTTGACATCTAAAATGAAGATAACACTGCATATATCCTTTTTTTACCTATGTGTGTATGTAATTTTATTCTCTTAAAGCATTCTCTTGGTGATCATTGTTTTAATAGTATGGATATTCCCAAGAGTCATATTTTTACTTTTATTTTTAATGTGTGTGTGTGTGTGTATATGTTTTCTGAGATTTTCACGGATGTATATATACACACAAACACACACACAAACACACACACACACCTATAATAAAGGTAAAAAAGGATATATGCAGTGTTATCTTCATTTTAGATATCAAAAGGGTTTTGTGGCTCCCAGTGTTTTGTTTTTGGTGGGAAACGGGTCCAAGTGGCTCTTTGAGTGTTTTGGGTTGCCTACCTCTGATATAGGGTGTCCTGCCTGAGCAGGGGGTTGGACTAGACCACCTCCAAGGTCCCTTCCAACTTCTAGTCTAGTCTAATCTAGTCTATTATTCTATTCTATTCTATCCTGTTGTGTTCTGTTATTCTATTCTATTCTATTCTATTCTATTCTATTCTTTCCTGTTCTGTTATTCTATTCTATTCTATCCTATCCCATCCCCTATTCTATTCTGTTCTATTCTATTCTTTCCTGTTGTTATTCTATTCTATTCTATTCTATTCTATTCTATTCTTTCCTATTCTGTTATTCTATTCTATCCTATCCCATCCCATCTTCTATTTTATTCTATTCTATTCTATTCTATTCTATTCTATTCTATTCTATTCTATTCTATTCTTTCCTGTTCTGTTATTCTATTCTATTCTAATTCTATTTTAACTCTATTCTATTCTTCTACACATTAACAAAATCTTGCAAATCAGAAAGTACACGTAAAAAGTTGCTAAAAGAAACACTGCCCAGCCTCCTAAAAATCTTAAAGAAAGGCCGAAGCATAGGGACTGAGATCAGATTTTTCCCACCAACCTTTCACCCCTCCAGATGCGTTGGAAACGCTCAACTGCAGAACTCTTGGCTTGGCAAGCTGGACCAAACCATTCCGCATTTTTAGGAGGTTGCCGGGTGACGGAATAAACGAACGTAGCCCATACTCTTGAGTAGCAACTTCTTTTACTACTTCCCAGTCCCAGGGACTTCCGTAAGCAGAGAAGAGGGCAGAGTTTTTAAAAATGGAGGCCAGCAGGTACCGTCTCCCACCATAGGTCCACTTCGATGGTCTTTACGGAAGTCCCGTCAACTTCCAAAACGGATTTAAATTCCCCCCCCCCCAAAAAAAAAGAAAAATGAGTTTGCAACTACAGCTTTCACCGTCTGGCAGGCTTGGGCATAATATAAACTTTGACTGGTTTGCTGAATAGGAGCGTCCCTTCGATGCTGCCCTCAGATGGGGGGAGAAGATCCGGGCTGTCTCCCCAGGTGGAGCGCGAGAGGTCCACGGAGGCCTTGGTTCTGTCCGAACTGTAGGCCAGGAGAAGACGGAGTTCAATTTGACAAGGTTCTGGAGCAAAGGGGGGGGGGAGAGAGAAGGAAAAGGTCTCAAATCTGCCAGGTTTCAAAAGGCATATAACATGCAGGTAGTCCTTAGCGTTATAACCATTTTGTCCATGCTGCTAACGTTGGATGTTCTGCATTGACAACAGATGGAAATGTAGCCATCTTTTTCAGAGTTAGATCAGTGGTGGCGAATCTATGGCACGCGTGCCAGAGGCGGCACTCGGAGCCCTCTCTGTGGGCACACGTGATGTTGTCCCAGCCTTGCCTTCCCCTGTGACCCCCTCCTCTCCAGCAGCCCCCCTGAAGGAGAGTTGCCCCCGAGTGTGGCCCACACGGAGCAGTGCAGCCAAGGACATGGCAGCCAGGCAGCGTAGACAAGACTCTGTCCTCACGCCCCATCATGCAGTTGATGCTGCAGGGCGTGGGCAGGGGTTGTGGCCACCATAGCGCTGCTGGGCTGCCTGGGCGATCTGCGGCGGGCCCTGGAGACGGTGAGTGGCCCTGCGGGCAGACAGGGCGGGGGATGGGGGGCAGAGCGGGGGCGGAGTAGGGTTGGAGTGGGGACAGGACCAGTTTTTGGCCACTTGGTCTCTAAAAGGTTCGCCATCACTGAGTTAGATGATGCTGGGAGAAGGGAGGGATGTGAACGAGACTCCAGCTAGACATAACAACACTAAACTTAGCATGAGAATCAAGGTAATTGAGCCCAAAACTGATAAAAGAATTGGCCGGCTGGAGAACTGGCGAGGAAGCCCGCGCTTCAAGCTAATTAGGGACTGTGATTTAGGACTGTTAATTGGAGGACGGAATTGTGCTTTGACACTATGTGCCCAGGGGAGGGGAATCCAGTTTTTGGCTTCGATTATGCAGTGCCAATCTTATGCTACTCAAATAAAAGATTCTTTAAGGTAAACAATGCCTCAAAGTTCTTTGAGGCCACTTGGAGGTTTGTCCTCAGGGTCACCTGACTGGTGTAAACGGGTCTGGTGCCTTCTTGGAACTGCTGAAACATCCTGCAGAAAGCACAACTCCACAACAGTCTTTTCAGCAGTTCCAAAGAGGCTACACACCCATTTGCACCACTCAGGTGACCCTGAGGACACAGATAAACCTCCAAGTGGCCTCAACGACTCTCAAAAAGAAGACAAATGACCAGCGGTCTGCAAGGAGTATAAAACCTTCCCTTCCCCACCATCCAGTCAGAGCTGAAGAAGCTTCTTGGAAGAGAAGCGAAATATCTTCAGAAGAAAAACAAGAAAGTCCACTTGCTTCTGGAAAAGAATGGGACTTTTGGCGGGCTCAGCAGGGCAGAGACAGCCTGGACAATTCCTATTGGCTTTTGAAAGCCAATACAATGAGACTCTATTCAAGAGAGTCTATTCTATTGGCTTTCAAAAGCCAATAGAATAAAAGGGAGTAGCACAGCTAAGGAAAAGGGGGGAAAAAATGGCGGACTGCGTTGTTTGGCGACCCCTGTGAAATGGTTGTTCGGCCCCAAATGGGGTCGCGACCCACAGGTTGAGAAACGCTGCTCTAAAAGAATGCAAATGACCAGCGGTCTGCAAGGAGTATAAAACCTTCCCTTCCCCACCATCCAGTCAGAGCTGAAGCTTCTTGGAAGAGAAGCAAAATATCTTCAGAAGTAAAACAAGAAAGTCCACTTGCTTCCGGAAAAAGCAGCTTTGGGTCTACATTAACACGGAATTTCCCAGCACTGCAAAAGATGCACTGAAGCCACGTTTCCCCTACCTGTCCACGCAGTGTGCGAAAGGTAAACCTGAGTAATTAATCGGTGCCTTCCTGGACCAGGATTTCTAAAATCTGCCGGTTTCGGATGGATCACCTGAGACTGACCATCAGGATACATGATCTAGAAGAAAAGAGAGAACTGAAGTGATTGGATTGTCCCTTCTCAAACCTGGAAGCATCAATGGAGCGACTCCTGCTTGTCCCACATCGCACTGACATTTTGGGGGGCTCCATCAAGAAGACGGTCTTGCTATTGTGACACCGCATTCATAGAGTACCCTCTCCTTAAAAAAAGGGGAAAAAAACAGCCCATGGAATCTCATGATAGGTAGTCCTTGCAGGCTGGGGAATCCTGGGAATTGAAGTCCACGCACCTTCAAGTGTGTTAGAGTGTTAAAAGACCCCACACACCCATTTTACGGTCTGTTTCTGTTGATCCCCTCTGAGAGGAGGTTTCGAAGTATTTCCAGCAGGATTACCAGATTCCGTAACAGCTTTGTTCCCTAGGCCAGCCGTCTGCTAAACTCACGAGATTCGTTTTTCTCGCCCCGTACGTGTAACATATTCAAACCAGACTGTGTTCTTTCGCTGTGCCATAGAATGTAATGTGGGTATATGCAAAAAAATTTTGGTCATATTTATGTAGTGTATATTGGAGTTGGTGACCCTTTGAGAGCTGTGTGCAACGAAATTTCATTTTAATGGATGCCGATTAGTGTACATTTAAAGTGACAATAAAGTTATTTTGTTCCATTCCATTCTATTCCGATCTCCATCCCCATCCCCATCTATTCTATTCTGTTCTGTTCTATTTATTCTGTTCTGTTCTTTCTATTCTATTCTGTTCTATTCTGTTTTGTTGTATTCTATTTATTCTGTTCTGTTCTAATTCTATTCTGTTCCGTTCTGTTCTACTGTATTCTATTTATTCTGTTCTGTTCTAATTCTGTTGTTGTTCTGTTCTGTTCTGTTCTGTTCTATTCCATTCCATTCCCAATTCTATCCCATCCCATCCCATCCCACCCCATTTCTATTCTATTCTATTCTATTCCATTCCATTCCATTCCCAATTCTATCCCATCCCTATTCTATTCTATTTCTATTCTATTTCTATTCTATTCTATTCTATTCTATTCTATTCTATTCTATTCTATTCTATTCTATTCTATTCTATTCTATTCCATTCCCAATTCTATCCCATCCCATCCCATCCCATCTCTATTCTATTCTATTCTATTCTATTCTATTCTATTCTATTCTATTCTATTCTATTCTATTCTATTCTATTCTATTCTATTCTATTCTATATTTCTATATTTCTATTCCGTTCCATTTTACTCCATTCCATTCCATTCTGCCTGAGATTGAGAAACCCCAAGATAATGAATAACACTTGGCCAACTGAATCCTTGTTCTAACCCAACATGGTGGCCTTCACATGGCTCAATTCAGTTACCTGGACTTTCACTGTGTTTTGAGGATCTTGCACGTGTTCTAGAGTGGCATCCACATCCACTGCGACCACTAATCCTGAGGTGAAGCGAAGGGGATTGTCCGATTCTCCTGTGGGCTCAATAATGGTGGCAGTTCCTCGGTGGATCTGAAGGAAGGGACAGGGTAAATTAGCTGGCATTTCTTGTGACAAAGCAACTCTTCGCAATTCGCTTTTTCCATCCTGATATGACCTTCTACAAGTAGTCCTCAACTTACAGCCATTCATTTAGTGACCGTTCCAAGTTCCAATGGCCACTGAACAAGGTGATTTACGTCCATTTTTCACAATTATGAAGGTTGCACCATCCCCACGGCGTGAGGTCGTGAAGAGTCAGACATGATTTAATGACTGGACAACAACAGAATAACAGAATTGGAAGGGACCTTGGAGGTCTTCTAGTCCAACCCCCTGCTCAAGCAGGAGACCCTATACAGGTAGTCCTCAGCTTACGACCACAATGGAGCCCAAAAGGCTGTTGGGGACTGAACAGGAACCATTTGCCTTTCAGTTTGAGATGCAGACAACACAGACTCATCCCCAACAGCCTGTGTGCCTGTCTTCAACCATGGAGGGACCCAAGGTAGAAACATCCTGCAGCCAAGATGGCTCCACACACATTTGCACCACTCAGGTGACCCTGAGGACACAGGTAAACGTCCAGGTGGCCTCAACGACCCTCTAAAACAGTGGTCCTCAACCTTTTTAATGCCGCGACCCCCAGCCGGTCGTAAGTCGAGGACTACTCAACCGGTCATAAGTCGAGGACTACTCAACTGGTGCAGCACCGTTTGCAGAATGGGACTTTTGGCGGGCTCAGCAGGGCAGAGACAGCCTGGACAATTCCTATTGGCTTTTGAAAGCCAATAGAATTAGACTCTATTCAAGAGAGTCTATTCTATTGGCTTTCAAAAGCCAATAGAATAAAAGGGAGTAGCACAGCTAAGGAAAAGGGGGAAAAAATGGCGGACTGCGTTGTTTGGCGACCCCCCGTGAAATGGTCGTTCAACCCCAAATGGGGTCCCGACCCACAGGTTGAGAACCACTGCTCTAAAAGAAGGCAAATGACCAGCCGTCTGCGAGGAGTATAAATCCCTCCATTCCCTACCATTCAGTCAGAACCTGAAGAAGCTTCTTGGGATGAGGAGCGAAACGTCTTCAAAGAAAGACAAGAAAGTCCCGTTGCCTCCAGAAAAAGCACCTTTGGGACAACCATGATCTGGATAACGAGAAGCTCCGTAGACGAACAAACGAATGAACGAACCAACGAACGTACGAACAAACGAAATCTCACCTTCTCTGGCAATGGAAGTTGAAGGAAGTTACTCTGTCGCAAGGTCACCCGGAGGATCTTGACCAATTCTGAAGGCTTGGAAGTGACCAACCTGGGCATCAGGTCGAGCAGCTTATCCACAAAGCTGCCTTGCATGTGGGGGAGCTCGGAAATGAAACACCTGCGCGAGGATAAGAGAAGAGAGACAGATGAAGGCAAATATACGTGTGGCCCAGGATAATGTTGTTGCAGGATCCAATCAGAGTTGGTCACCAGGACCAAAGGTTTATTCTTCCAAGCTCGGGTGGAGTTCATCCTAAGGCAGTGGTTCTCAACCTGTGGGTCGGGATCCCATTTGGGGTCGAACGACCATTTCACGGGGGTCGCCAAACAACGCAATCCGCCATTTTTTTCCCCTTTTCCTTAGCTGTGCTACTCCCTTTTATTCTATTGGCTTTTGAAAGCCAATAGAATAGACTCTCTTGAATAGAGTCTAATTCTATTGGCTTTCAAAAGCCAATAGGAATTGTCCAGGCTGTCTCTGCCCTGCTGAGCCCGCCAAAAGTCCCATTCTGCAAACGGTGCTGCGCCAGTTGAGTAGTCCTCGACTTACGACCGGTTGAGTAGTCCTTGGCTTACGACCAGCTGGGGGCCGCGGCATTAAAAAGGTTGAGAACCACTGTCCTAAGGGGAATTTCTCTCTCTCTCTCTCTCTCTCTCTCTCTCTCTCTCTCTCTCTCTCTCTGTCTCTCCCTCCCTCTCTCCCTCTCTCTCTCTCCAGAATGTGTACGTTGGGCTGTTCTACGTGTCATGTTTATAGGGTGCCGTTGTGTGTGGCTTTTACTTAATTAGGGTGTTGATGGCCAGCTACTAAGTCGCTGATTGTTGTTTCCTTGTGTCCCCTCTGCTCCTAAGTATGCGGTAGGCCAGTGTTAAATCAGCGCTCCTACTGACTGACCAGGGGCTGTTTCAGGCTTCGATTATTTCCCTGGCTATTTTTGTCTCTACTCGGCCAACAAACGTAATAGCTGAGAAACTGAATGCATGTCCTTTTTCGTTGCAATATGAGACTACCAAAGAGTTTGGGTCTTCTCCTCTAACCAAGAACAAGATTAGTTGAGGCATTACGACACAGGTGCGCTGAAAAACCTGTACCTGGATTGCTGATAAGGTAGGCATGACCACCTCGTTTGCGCCCAAGGAGTATCTCACCAGATTGTACACACCTTTGAAAACAGTCCACTTCTTGCAAAAATTTCTCACATATGCCGAGCGGTTCCACCCTGTAACAAAGATACAAAATTCATTCTAGACATCCTGGGTTTTTTTGCCGGTTACAAGTCACTTGCAGGAGCAGAAAGTCGGACAGATTATTCTATAGAAAAGCTGGCTTGGGAATATAAGTGGTGCAAACTTTTAGAGACTGAGTGCCCAAACTGCAACCCAAAACCCACTTATGTATCGTCGGGTGCCGGGTGGGCGTGGCCCATTGGGTGGGCGTGGCTTTGGGGGTAACGGCAGACTGGGTGGGACTAAAAAGTTCAATCAATCAATTTCAACTTTGCGAGATCTTTTTTTTCCTGTAAGAAGTTGAAATTGGTCGATTGATTGAACCTTTTTTTTTTTTTTGCACACGGCGGTGGAGGCCTAAAGCGAAAAGGTTTTATAAAACCCAGCTGAAGGCCTAGGACTGGGGCGACAGCGTGCGTGTCCACAGAGAGAGCTCTGCATGCCACCTGTGGCACCCGTGCCATAGGTTCGCCACCACGGACCTAATCAGTCAATCCAAAGCTTTCCAAACTATCCTAAATTTTATGTAGTCAGCAACTGAATCTATCTTGAATCAGAATAGAACTGGAAGGGACCTTGGAGGTCTTCTAGTCCAGCCCCCTGCTCAAGCAGGAGATCCTCTACCAGTACAGACAAGTGACTGTCCAGTTACTTCTTAAAAACCTCAAGTGATGAAGCACCCACAACGTCTGTGTCAGAATCCAATTATATTTCATCTCTAGTTATCGACTATGGCAGTGGTTCTCAACCTTTTTAATGCCGCGACCCCCAACCGGTCGTAAGTCGAGGACTACTCAACTGGTCGTAAGTCGAGGACTACTCAACTGGTGCAGCACCATTTGCAGAATGGGACTTTTGGCGGGCTCAGCAGGGCAGAGACAGCCTGGACAATTCCTATTGGCTTTTGAAAGCCAATAGAATTAGACTCTATTCAAGAGAGTCTATTCTATTGGCTTTCAAAAGCCAATAGAATAAAAGGGAGTAGCACAGCTAAGGAAAAGCGGGGGAAAAATGGCGGACTGCGTTGTTTGGCGACCCCCGTGAAATGGTCGTTCGACCCCAAATGGGGTCCCGACCCCCAGGTTGAGAACCACTGGACTATGGAAACCCCCATTTCTGCCCTCTCTGGATTCTGTCATACGATGAAGGGGAAGGGGTGGTGGTGAACAAAGGGGTTTTATGGCCCTCACTTCCTTCGGTACAACTTCAAAGGAAGTGAAGGTGGATACCACCAAAAGGACTAAGTCATAACAATGGGGCCATCAGCTTTCATCTACTCCTCTCTGCAGTCTCCCTTCCACCGGCAGTGAGGAAAAAGGGGGTGGAAATGTAACGCCTGGGATTGTCGCTGGAAAGATGGTGGGGTGGGGTGGGACTGCTGGGGACCCCTTAAAACCTTGAACCGTAGGGCTTGGGCCCCAGGTCCTGTCTAGAATGCCTGCAACCATTTTCTCTTAATAAAGGATGCCTGTTGGAAGCAATATTCCAAGAGTTCTGTCTTCTTAAGATGCAAAGTGGGGTGGGTCCTTACAGTCTGGTGGCAAGCTGTTCCACTGGTTAATTGTCCTCCGCTAATTGACCTCTCCACCGATTAAGCCTCCCCAAGTCCCAAAGAGGCCTGCTTACCCTCTCGTTGTCCGCACCGTCACGATCAGCTGCAGAGCCTTGGCCTGCAGCCTCATATGATGGATGATGACCACCTGCCTATGCTCCACGTTGCTGTACATGAACTCCATCTTGTACGTTTCTTCCATAATCTAGACAAGAAATCACTGGTTTTTTTTTTTTTAATTCTGTCAAGATTCCCAAGGGAGATTGCTTCCCCTGAAAAACGTGGCGAGGCTCCTTCAAACAAACGAAGGGTGAAGCAACCACACCGTGCAGTGTAATCCAACCAATCGTCAAGAACGTCTTTTTAGCATCCTATCTGTTATAATAGCGATAGCACTTGGGAGTTATATCCTGACCCACAGTGCTTTTACAGCACGCTCTGGGCAGTTTACAACGTCAGCATCTTGTACTCAATCACAATAGAGCTGGAAGGGACCTTGGAGGTCTTCTGATTCAATCTTCTGCTCAAGCAGGAGACCCTATATATCGTTCCCAACAATCCGGGTCCTCATTTTACTGACCCCGGAAGGATGGAAGGCTGAGTCAACCTTGAGCTGGTCAGGATCGAACTCCTGGCTGTGGGCACAGTTTGCCTGCAATGCTGCATTCTAACCACTGGGCCACCATGGCTCCTTCCTTCCTTCCTTCCTTCCTTCCTTCCTTCCTTCCTTCCTTCCTTCCTTCCTTCCTTCCTTCCCAACTAAATCAGAAAATAGCAATAGCAACAGCACTCAGACGTACAGTATATACTGCTTCATAAAGCTTTACAGCCCTCTCTCTAAGCGCTTTATAGAATCAGCATATCACCTCCAACAATCTGGGACCTCATTTTACCAACCTCGGAAGGATGGAAGGCTGTGTCAACCTTGAGCCAGTCAGGATCGAACTCCTGGCTGTGGGCACAGTTTGCCTGCAATGCTGCATTCTAACCACTGTGCGGAAGGAAGGAAGGAAGGAAGGAAGGAAGGAGAAAGGAAGGAAGGAAGGAAGGAAGGAAGGAAGGAAGGAAGGAGAAAGGGAGGGAGGGAGAGGAGAAGGAAGGAGCGAGAGAGGGGAGGAAGCAAGGAAGGAAGGAGGAAGGGAGGAGGGAAGGAGTGGAGGAAAAAAGGAAGGAGGGAGGAAGGAAGGAGCAAGAGAGGGGAGGAAGCAAGGAAGGAAGGAGGAAGGGAGGAGGGAAGGAGTGGAGGAAAAAAGGAAGGAGGGAGGAAGGAAGGAGCAAGAGAGGGGAGGAAGCAAGGAAGGGAGGAGGAAGGGAGGAGGGAAGGAGTGGAGGAAAAAAGGAAGGAGGGAGGAAGGAAGGAGCAAGAGAGGGGAGGAAGCAAGGAAGGGAGGAGGGAGGAGGAAGGGGTGGAGGAAGAAAGGAAGGAGGGAAGAAGGAAGGAGCGAGAGAGGGGAGGAAGCAAGCAAGGGAAGAGGGAGGGAGGGGGTGGAAGGGAGGTAGGAAGGAAGGAGGGAGGGGTGGAGGAAGGAAGGAAGGAAGGAAGGAGGGAGGGAAGGAAGGAGGGAGGGAAGCAAGGAAGGAGAGAGAGGAGGAAGCAAGGAAGGAAGAAGGGAGAAGGAAAGAGGAAGGAAGGAAGAAGGGAGGGGTGGATGAAGGAAGGAAGGAAAGAAGAAATACCCCCCCCCCAGCATACCTGTCGAGCTGCAGCCAAGGCGAGCGCATTCTGTTTGACATACAGGGGAGCCGCCACATTCCAGAGTTTTTCCTGCAGAGCCTAAAAATGAACAGACACTCAGAGATTGTCCCAAAGGTGTTTTTTCAAAAGGCAACTGTGCTTTATTTTTCTCCGAAGGCATTTCGCTCCTCATCCAAGAAGCTTCTTCAGTTCTGATCGAATGGTAGAGGATGAAAGGATTTACATTCCTTGCAGCCCATCTAGCCCTGTAGCCTGCCATTTTTTTTTCCCCCGGAAATCTGTTCATCCTCCCCCACCATTCGAGGGGTGTTTCCACCCCAAAAGTGCATCGCTAAATGTCTATGGAGCTGCTCAGCCATCCAGGTCATGCTTCTCCTCAACTTAGCAAGGGAAATTTGGGGGTCCATTGTCATCGTAAGGTGAGGACTACCTGTACTCTTACCTGTTTTCCCCCATAACAACCATCCTGTGAGGTGGGATGAGCTGAAAGGCAGTGACTGGCCCCACGTCATTTCCTAACTCAGGGGTCTTCAAACTTGGCCCCTTCATGACTCAGGGACTTCAACTCCCAGAATTCCTGAGCCAGTACAGGGGAACTATGGCCCCTTCATGACTTGCAGACTTCAATTCCCAGAATTCCTCAGCCAGCATGGGGGAACTATGGCCCCTTCATGATTTGTGGACTTCAACTCCCAGAATTCCTCAGCCAGCATGGGGGAATTATGGCCCCTTCATGACTTGTGGACTTCAACTCCCAGAATTCCTGAGCCAGCAATGGGGGAACTATGGCCCCCTCATGACTCGTGGACTTCAACTCCCAGAATTCCTCAGCCAGGCACACCTGGCTGAAGAATTCTGGGAGTTGAAGTCCACAAGTCATAAAAGGGCCAAGTTTGAAGACCCCTGTCCTAACTCATACCAAGAGCAGGGTCAGCACCCAGCTTCGTCTCCAGCAGTTGTAAAGGCATACCTTGATGAGAAGGAGCTGGCAGCGTAGGTAAGCTGCAGAAAAGTCAGCCATGCCGGCTAAGTCAGACTGTAGTTCTCCAAACCTCTGAAGGTCCCTGGGTAAAGAAGGCAAAAAGATACCGTAAATGCCGGCGTATAAGGCGACTTCCGCGAGCGCTGAAATCGGCGCCAAAGACGGGGGTCGTCTTATATGCCGAGTCGTCTTATACGCCGGAAATACTGGTAGTTTCCGGCGTATAAGACGACGTTCTAGGAATGCGGCCCGGCTATAAAGACGGGGGTCGTCTTATACGCCGGGTCGCCTAATACGGCGGCATATACAGTAAATAGCAACAGCACTTAGACTTACATACCGCTTCACAGGGCTTCACAGCCCTCTCTAAGCGGTTTATTGAGTCAGCCTATTTGTCTCCCAACAATCTGGGTCGTCATTTGAACGACTTCAGAAGGATGGAAGGCTGAGTCAACCTTGAGCCGGTCAGGATCGAACTGCTGGCAGTCGGCAGAGTTAACCTGCAGTACTGCATTCTAACCTCTGCGACACCATTTCTCCCTCCCTTCCTTCCTTCCTTCCTTCCTTCCTTCCTTCCTTCCTTCCTTCCTTCCTTCCTTTCTCCTTCCCTCCCCCCTCCCTTCTTCCTTCTTTCCATCCTCCTCCTTCCTTCCTTCCTCCCTCTCCTTCCTTTCTTCCTTCCTCCTTCCCTCCCTCCCCCCTCCCTTCTTCCTTCTTTCCTTTCCATCCTCTCTTCCTTCCCTCTCCTTCCTTCCTCCCTCGTTCCCTCTCCTTCCTTCCTCGTTCCCTCTCCTTCCTTCCTCGTTCCCTCTCCTTCCTTCCTTCCTCCTTCCCTCCCTCCTTCCTTCCCTTCTTCCTTCTTTCCTCTTTCCATCCTCCCTCTCCTTCCTTCCTCCCTCCCTCCCTCTTCCTTCCTCCTTCCCTCACTCCCCTCCCTTCCCTTCTTCCTTTCCTCTTTCCATCCTTCCTCTTCCTTCCTTCGTTCCTTCCGCCTTATTTCCCTCCCTCTCCTTCCTTCCTTCCTTTCTTCCTCCTTCCCTCCCTCCTCCCTCCCCTTCTTCTTTCTTTCCTCTTTCCATCCTCTTCCTTCCTTCCTCCCTCTCCTTCCTTCTTCCCTCTCCTTCTTTCCTCCCTCTCCTTCCTCCCTCCCTCTCCTTCCTTCCTCCCATTATGCAGTGATGGGACTCGAAGCGCCGAAGCGTAGGCCTTCTCTGGCATCTTTTAAGCCACTGAGCCGCTGCACCTCCAGCGGCACAGAAAACAGAGGGAAAATTCTGCTTTGTCAGCAACAGACAACTGGCATTTTGGCTTGTTCACCTTCTCAAAGACAGACTCAGCCGATCTGTTTCCAAGGATAAAAGGCGAGGGAAGATGGGTTTTGTGCGGCTACTTTGGATGCCAACCTACACTGCTGAATTAGGGGCAGCCCGTATAAGGGTTTGGGGGGGGGTGCTAAGAAGCAGAAAACTACGCAGAGAATTGAGTGGACGCCACCAAATTGGGTGAAGCTAACCGGCCCACCCCTCCTCTCTCGTCTCCCAAAGCCAGTACCGAATGGTGAATTCAAGCAGCTCCTGAGAGCCCTGGGGATCCAGGTGCTGAAGGCTGAAAACTCGTTCCAGGCTCTGCTGTAGAAATTCCTGAGAAGGGTCTTCCGGAAGGGTGAGGCTGGCAAGCCCGGAAGAAGAGGCCAGCTTTTTCCCAGGCAGCTATGTGAAAAGAAAAAAGAAAAAGAAAAGAGAGAGAGAGAAAAAAAAACAGAAATAAAAGAGATGTTGGGAAGAAGTGAAATGAAATGAAATGAAGTAAAGAAAAGTGGATGAAGGGAAGGAGGAAGGGAAGTGAATGAAGGGAAGGAGGAAAGGAAAGGGATTGAAGAGAAGGAAAGGAGAGAGGGAAGGGGATGAAGGGAAGGAGGAAAGGAAATGACAGGGAAGGGAAGGGAAGGGGAGAGGAGGGGAGGAAAAGAAAGGAAAGGAAAGGAAGAATGACTGAAAGAAGGGAGAAAAGGAAAGGAAAGGAAGAATGACTGAAAGAAGGGAGAGAAGGAAAGGAAAGGAAGAATGATTGAAAGAAGGGAGAAAAGGAAAGGAAAGGAAGAATGACTGAAAGAAGGGAGAAAAGGAAAGGAAAGGAAGAATGACTGAAAGAAGGGAGAGAAGGAAAGGAAAGGAAAGGAAGAATGACTGAAAGAAGGGAGAGAAGGAAAGTAAAGGAAGAATGACTGAAAGAAGGGAGAAAAGGAAAGGAAAGGAAGAATGACTGAAAGAAGGGAGAAAAGGAAAGGAAAGGAAGAATGACTGAAAGAAGGGAGAAAAGGAAAGGAAGAATGACTGAAAGAAGGGAGAGAAGGAAAGGAAAGGAAAGGAAGAATGACTGAAAGAAGGGAGAAAAGGAAAGGAAAGGAAGAATGACTGAAAGAAGGGAGAGAAGGAAAGGAAAGGAAGAATGACTGAAAGAAGGGAGAAAAGGAAAGGAAAGGAAGAATGACTGAAAGAAGGGAGAAAAGGAAAGGAAAGGAAGAATGACTGAAAGAAGGGAGAAAAGGAAAGGAAAGTGGTTGAAGGGAAGGAAAGGAGAAAGAGAAGGGAAGGAGGAAGGGAAGTGGATGAAAGAAGGGAAGGGAAGGTACAGGTGACCCTGAGGACACACAGATAAACCTCCAGGTGGCCTCAACGACCCTCTAAAAGGAGACAAATGACCAGCTGTCTGCAAGGAGTATAAATCCTTCCATTTCCCCACCATCCAGTCAGAACCTGAAGAAGCTTCTGGGATGAGAAGCGAAACGTCTTCAAAGATAAAACAAGAGAGCCCAGGTGCCTCCTGAAAAAAAATGCACCTTTGAATCAACCCTGACCTGGAGGACGGAGAACATCCATGGACATCCAAAGGCAAATCATGTGACCGCGGGGATGCTGTAACCGTCGTTAAGTGTGAAAAATGGTCACAAGTGACTTATTTCAGCGCCGTTGTAACTTCGAACAGCCCATGATCTGTGATAAGCGGAGGACGACTTGTAAAAAAAAGAAAATCCCTGCCGTGGATGTCAGGAGTTCCTCCCAACGGCTCGACTTACCCTCAACGGCGGGACCAGGTGCGAGAGGCTATCCCGGAGGTAAGCGTAGTGCCGGAAGGTGTGGTCAGAGAAGAGCGCCGGCATCGTGGGGCAGGATTTGGCCGCGTTGAAAATCAGAACCAGGACGGCAATATCTGAGCCACAGGTTAAGGGAGGAAAAAGACGTCAGATCCTTTTTTTTTTTTTAACAAATTTTATAATACAGTTAAAAACAAACAAACATTGGATTTAACGTGACATTCCAGTATATACATTCTTATCAGATTATTCCACTTTTTTACAATCCATTTTTCATCTCTACATATACATCTAAGTTTTATATACAATACTTATTCTAAAATAACATATCTTTCTGTCTTAACATTCATCTTTAATCCCGACCGTCCTCTTCGAATTCCTCCAGCGGTAAAATTTATCCCAGGTTTCAGAATAAACTGATCCACATTTGTCTTTTAATATCATTGTGAGCCTGTCCATTTCCGCGCATGCTAATATTTTATGTATTAACCCTTCCTCTGTGGGAATTTCCTTGCTCTTCCATTTTTGCGCTAAAGCAAGCCTAGCTGCAGTCAGGATGTGTAGCAGCAGGTAGATTGTTCCCTTAAGACAGTGGTTCTCAACCTTTTTAATGCCGTGACCCCCAACCGGTCGTAAGTCGAGGACTACTCAACTGGTGCAGCACCGTTTGCAGAATGGGACTTTTGGCGGGCTCAGCAGGGCAGAGACAGCCTGGACAATTCCTATTGGCTTTTGAAAGCCAATAGAATTAGACTCTATTCAAGAGAGTCTATTCTATTGGCTTTCCAAAGCCAATAGCATACAAGGGAGTAGCACAGCTAAGGAAAAGGGGAAAAAAATGGCGGACTGCGTTGTTTGGCGACCACCCGTGAAATGGTCGTTCGACCCCAAATGGGGTCCCAACCCACAGGTTGAGAACCACTGCCTTAAGACGTCAGATCCTTGACGGGAAAGCAGTTCAACAAAACTCTGGAATGCAAGAGTCAGGGTGGCACAATGGTTAATATTGCAGGCTAACTCTGCCCACAGCCAGGAGTTCGATCCTGAACAGCTCGAGGTTGACTCAGCCTCCCATCTTTCCGAGGAAGGTAAAAATGAGGGTCCAGATTGTTGGGGGCAAATATACTGACTCTGCAAACCGCTTAGAGAGGGTTGTAAAGCACTGTGAAGCAGTATATAAGTCTAAGTGCCGGAAGGAAGGAAGGAAGGAAGGAAGGAAGGAAGGAAGGAAGGAAGGAAGGAAGGAAGGAAGGAAGGAAGGAAGGAAGGAAGGAAGGAAATAGGAGGAAAGAAGGAAGGAAGGAAGGAAGGAAGGAAGGAAGGAAGGAAGGAAGGAAGGAAGGAAGGAAGGAAGGAAGGAAGGAGCGAGCCATGGTGCCACAGTGGTTAGAATGCAGCATTGCAGACTAATTCTGCCCACTGCCAGCAGTTCAATCCTGACCGGCTCGAGGTGGAATCAGCCTTCCATCCTTCCGAGGTCAATAAAATGAGGACCCAGATTGTTGGTGGGGCAAGATGCTGACTCATCGTTTCTGGGGCCAGGCCCAAAGTCACCCAGGCAGCTTTCATGCCTAAGATGGAACTAGAACTCCCTGTCTCCTAGCGATTGGCCCAAAGTCACCCAGCCAGCTTTCATGCCTAAGGTGGAACTAGAACTCCCTGTCTCCTAGCGATTGGCCCAAAGTCACCCAGCCAGCTTTCATGCCTAAGGTGGAACTAGAACTCCCTGTCTCCTAGCGATTGGCCCAAAGTCACCCAGCCAGCTTTCATGCCTAAGATGGAACTAGAACTCCCTGTCTCCTAGCGATTGGCCCAAAGTCACCCAGCCAGCTTTCATGCCTAAGGAGGAACTAGAACTCCCTGTCTCCTAGCGATTGGCCCAAAGTCACCCAGCCAGCATTCATGCCTATGGTGGAACTAGAACTCCCTGTCTCCTAGCGATTGGCCCAAAGTCACCCAGGCGGCTTTCATGCCTAAGATGGAACTAGAACTCCCTGTCTCCTAGCGATTGGCCCAAAGTCACCCAGCCAGCATTCATGCCTAAGGTGGAACTAGAACTCCCTGTCTCCTAGCGATTGGCCCAAAGTCACCCAGCCAGCATTCATGCCTAAGGTGGAACTAGAACTTCCTGTCTCCTAGCGATTGGCCCAAAGTCACCCAGCCAGCATTCATGCCTAAGGTGGAACTAGAACTCCCTGTCTCCTAGCGATTGGCCCAAAGTCACCCAGGCGGCTTTCATGCCTAAGATGGAACTAGAACTCCCTGTCTCCTAGCGATTGGCCCAAAGTCACCCAGCCAGCATTCATGCCTAAGGTGGAACTAGAACTCCCTGTCTCCTAGCGATTGGCCCAAAGTCACCCAGGCGGCTTTCATGCCTAAGATGGAACTAGAACTCCCTGTCTCCTAGCGATTGGCCCAAAGTCACCCAGGCAGCTTTCATGCCTAAGGTGGAACTAGAACTCCCTGTCTCCTGGCGATTGGCCCAAAGTCATCTAGCTGGCTTTCAGGCTTAAAGGAGCAGGCAAATCCCCATTTTGGTCAACCAAATGCATGTCAGAATGCAACTGCAATTTTACTGATGGCTTTTCTTATCATGATACCCCAGGAAACCACAACTGGCACAAAAGGCGGTTTGCATTCCCATTGCAATTCAAACTTTTATGTTTTACCAACTGCTTGCAAATCACAAGCAGTTCTGTGCACTAAATCTGAAACCCTCTGGAGCATTTTACGCAGAACAGGTGGGAAAAAAAGGATACAAGCTGGATCATCCATGTCTGGTTCAGGGGTGTCGAAGAAAGGGTGGGTCCCCAACAATTCAGGGACGAGCGGGAGCACCAGAGTGGGGTGCCTGCTTCCCAGAAACTTTAAACACCTGAAAAAATACAGACATTCAAAGCAGAGAAGGTTCCCTTTTATTGTAACCAAACAGCAAACTCTTTAGGACAAGGGTAGGCAACCATAGCTCTTTTATGACTCGTGGACTTCAACTCCCAGAATTCCTCAGCCAGCATGGGAGGAACTATGGCCCCTTCATGACTTGTGGACTTCAATTCCCAGAATTCCTCAGCCAGCATGGGGGAACTATGGCCCCTTCATGACTTGTGGACTTCAACTCCCAGAATTCCTGAGCTTGGAAACCTCTCCCTTTCCCCTCAGCATGGCTGGCTCAGGAATTCTGGGAGTTGAAGTCCACAAGTCATAAAAGAGCCAAAGTTCCCCACTTCTGCCCTATACCATTTCAGACAAACGGCTGTCCAGTCTCTTCTTAAAAACTTCCAGTGATGGAGCATTCACTGTTTCTGGAGGCAGGTGGTTCCACTGGTTAATTGTAACTGTCAAGAAATTTCTTAGTTCTATGTTGCTTCGCTCCCTTGATTAGTTTCCATCTGTTGTTTCTTGTCCTGCCTTCAGGCGCTTTGGAGAATAGCTTGACTCCCTCTTCTTTGTGGCAGCCCCTGAGATACTGGAAGACTGCTATCATGTCCCCTCTCATCCTTCTCTTCGTTAAACTAGACATACCCAATTCCAGCAACCGTTCCTTATATGTTTTAGCCTCCAGTCCCCTAATCATCTTTGTTGCTCTTCTTTGCACTCTTTCCAGAGTCTTGACCTGTATCCCACCTTAAGGACACAAACACAGACTTACTTCCAAATGGAATCCCTGTCTGTCGGATATTTGGCGAGGTTTTTGAGCAGCTCCGCCAAGGCAAGATGGATGCCTTCTTTGGTCGAGACGTTGGTGCAACACAACAGCTCGTGGAGAGCTTCCCGGATATCTCGGGAGGAATCCTAAAGCAACACAGGGAAAGAATGAACGCTGAAGCAGGGGAAAGCATCTGTATTATAGGATCTACCATCCCCAGTAAAGGAAGGAAAAATCAGGAAATATGCAGCAGACTAGCATATCAAAGAGGAGCCCTTGAAAGCCTTGGGCTACAAAGATCATAACAGGGCAAGCGGTATTTTCTTTCCCGTTGACGCTCAGGTGCAAGTGAAAATTGGACTTCGAAGCAACGGGATAGGAAGAGAAGCGACTTTTTTTGAGCTCTGGTGTTGGAGGAGACACTTGAGAATATGGTAGACAGCCAAGAAAAAAAAAAGATGGTTCATTAAACAAATCAGGTCTCACTTGGGGGTGCAAATGACCAGGCTCAAAATATATCTGGCTTTAGAGACATTATGCAAAGACCTTTTCTATGGAGAAAGCTACAAGGCTGGGAAAGCGGCGAGGAGGAGGAGGAGGAGGAGAGAAAGAAAAGCAGGAGGAGAAGCAGAAGGAGAAGGAAAAGGGAGAAGGAGAAGAAGAAAAAGCAGAAGGAGCAGAAGAAGAAAAAGGAGAAAGAGGAAGAGGAGAAGAAGAAAAGGAGAGGAGAAGGAGGAGAAGAAGAAAAAGCAGGAGAAGCAGAAGGAGAAGGAAAAGGAGAGAAGGAGAAGAAGAAAAAGCAGAAGGAGCAGAAGGAGAAGAAGAAAAAGAAGAAATAGGAGAAGGAAGAAGAGGAAGAGGAGAAGGAGAAGGAAAAGGAGAGAAGGAGAAGAAGAAAAAGCAGAAGGAGCAGAAGAAGAAAAAAAGGAGAAAGAGGAGGAGGAAGAAGAGGAAAAGAAGAAAAAAACAGAAGGAGCAGAAGGAGAAGAAAAAGGAGAAAGGAGGAAGAAGAAGAAGAGAAAGAGGAGAAGAAGGAAAAGGAGAGGAAAAAAAGCAGAAGGAGCAGAAGAAGAAAAAGAAGGAGAAAGAGGAGGAGGAGGAAGAAGAGGAAGAGGAGAAGAAGGAAAAGGAGAGGAGAAGGAGGAGAAGAAGAAAAAGCAGGAGAAGCAGAAGGAGAAGGAAAAGGAGAGAAGGAGGAGAAGAAGAAAAAGCAGAAGGAGCAGGAGAAGAAGAAAAAGAAGAAATAGGAGAAGGAAGAAGAGGAAGAGAAGGAGAAGGAAAAGGAGAGAAGGAGAAGAAGAAAAAGCAGAAGGAGAAGAAGGAGAAGAAAAAGAAGGAGAAAGGAGGAAGAAGAAGAAGAGGAAGAGGAGAAGAAGGAAAAGGAGAGGAAAAAAAGCAGAAGGAGCAGAAGAAAAAGGAGAAAGAGGAGGAGGAGGAAGAAGAGGAAGAGGAGAAGGAAAAGGAGGAGGAGAAGAAGAAAAAGCAGGAGAAGCAGAAGAAGAAGAAAAAGAAGAAGGAGAAAAGGAACCAGCAACTAGACAGATAAATTCAGTTACATTGATGATGGAGGCACCATTGGAAGATCCGAAAGACTACATTAGGGACAGATTGCCATGGAGAAAAACTACCTACGTGGTTGCTAAGAGTTGATGATTTGATGACACATAATCAATCAATCAACCAATCAATCAAGGATGTTCAGCTTATACTTCTCCTGGCCATCCTGGATGGGGTAGAATGGAGATACAGTTCCGACACATCAAGGGAACCTCAACCTCTCCCTCAGACCTAGCAGTAGAAGTAGCACTAGCATTTAGACTTATATACCACTTCACAGTGCTTCACAGCCCTCGCTAAGCGGTTTACAGAGTCAGCATATTTGCCCTCAACAATCTCGGTCCTCATTTTACCGACCTCAGAAGGATGGATCCACCTTGAGCCAGTGAGACTCGAACTGCCAAATTGCTGGCAGCCGGCAGTCAGCAGAATTAGCCTGCAGTGCTGCATTCTAACCACTGCGCCACCAAATAACATCCTCAACAGCAGGGGTCTGCAAACTTGGCCTTTTATGTCTTGCAGTCTTCAACGCCCAGAATTCCTCAGCCAGCATGGGGGAACTATGCCCCCTTCATGACTTGCGGACTTCAATTCCCAGAATTCCTCAGCCAGCATGGAGGAACTATAGCCCCTTCATGACTTGCGGACTTCAACTCCCAGAATTCCTCAGCCAGCATGGAAGAACTAGAGCCCCTTCATGACTCGTGGACTTCAACTCCCAGAATTCCTCAGCCAACATGCCTGGCTAAGGAATTCTGGGAGTTGAAGTCGAGAAGTCAAAAAAGGGCAAAGTTTGAAGACCCCTGACATAATGTGAGGGGGAAATAATGCTAACTCAGAAAGAGCTAAACTGGTGTTTCTCAACCTCGGCCATTTTAAGAGGTGTGGACTTCAACTCCCAGAATTCCTCAGCCAGTGAAGTCATAAAAGGGCCAAGTTTGAAGGCCCCTGCTCTAAGATCCAGCAGAATTGAGTATCAGTTAGAAGGTTAAGCCAGAACTCAAGGAAGCAGAATTCAACCCTGCCCTTGAGGCTGGTTCATGGAGAGCCTATGCCGACCAAATGAAAATGACGACATTTATCATGTCACGATCATAACAACATTCCCGCTGAAATCAAATGATCAAAGCGAAATCAATTCCAAAGAAAGCCCAAACTAAAGGAGGATTTTGGGGGGGGGGGGGATCCTTGCCTCCAAGACCCCCAGCACTGTGTCCAGCTGATCCTCTCGCAGGGTGATGTTGTTTGAAATCTTCCTCATGGTGTGAATCGACCGCAGCCTCACTTCCTCAATTTCGTCGTTAAACATGTCAACCAGAAAATCGAGGCACTTCTCAGCAAAAGAGGGCGAAGACTGGGCCAGCATGCAAAGGGCTTCCACGGCGGCAATCCGGACCTCTAAAAAAATAGATCAAGAGGGCACGTCAGAGATGGAAAAAGGAAATGCCGGAATCCTCTCTTTGAGAAGCTGTAAAGCAGAGGTCTTCAAACTTGGCCCTTTTACGACTTGTGGACATCAACTCCCAGAATTCCTCAGTCAGCATGGGGGAACTATGGCCCCTTCATGACTCGGGGACTTCAACTCCCAGAATTCCTCAGTCAGCATGGGGGAACGATGGCCCCTTCATGACTCGGGGACTTCAACTCCCAGAATTCCTCAGTCAGCATGAGGGAATGATGGCCCCTTCATGACTGGTGGACTTCAACTCCCAGAATTCCTCAGTCAGCATGAGGGAACGATGGCCCCTTCATGACTCGGGGACTTCAACTCCCAGAATTCCTCAGTCAGCATGGGGGAACGATGGCCCCTTCATGACTCGGGGACTTCAACTCCCAGAATTCCTGAGCCAGCATAGGGGAACGATGGCCCCTTCATGTCTCGGGGACTTCAACTCCCAGAATTCCTGAGCCAGCATAGGGGAACGATGGCCCCTTCATGACTCGGGGACTTCAACTCCCAGAATTCCTGAGGCAGCGTCATTTGCATTCTTTTAGAGAGTTGTTGAGGCCACTTGGAGATTTATTTATGTCCTCAGGGTCACCTGAATGGTGAAAATGGGTGTGGAGCCTTCTTGGAACTCCTTTCAGCACACCTATTTTCACTAGTCAGGTGACCCTGAGGACACAGGTAAACCTCCAGGTGGCCTCAACGACTCTCTAAAACAGTGTTTCTCAACCTTGACAATTTTAAGGCATGTGGACTTCAACTCCCAGAATTCCACAGCCAGCAATGCTGGCTGTGGAATTCTGGGAGTTGAAGTCCACATGCCTTAAAATTGTCAAGGTTGAGAAACACTGCTCTAAAAGGAGGCAAATGACCAGCTGTCTGAAAGGAGTATAAATCCTTCCCTTCCCCACCATCCAGTCAGGGCGGAAGAAGCTTCTTGGGATGAGGAGCGAAACGTCTTCAAAGAAAAACAAGGGAGTCCAGTTGCCTCCCGATAAAGCACCTTTGGGACAACTCTGACCTGGAGAACTGAGCGACATTTAACTGAATCAAGAGTTAGAAACTGGATTGAAGAGAGTTAAGGGTTAGTATGATTTTGGTTATTGCATAATTAGTAAACTTAAGTAGATTATGTTTAATATGTTTGTATAACCCTGTACTTGGCTCTGGGAAGTGGGGGGGGGAGGGGGTGGGGGGAGGATGCGTTGGAGGTTAAATAGGTCAGATAAGTAGAAATAGTTGTGTTTTTTTTTGTTTATAATATTGATGTTTTAACTTGGAGAGAGGAATTGCTCGGGCATTTCCCCTGGACTGCATCCGGAGCGAGAAGATAGGAGGAAGGGGAGAAGTAAGTAGGAAGGCTGAGGAGAAGGAGGAGAGGGGGAGAGTGAGGAAGATGAGGAAGAAAAGAGGGAAGTGAGAGAAGAGGTTAGAGGGTGGATGCGGTTTGGGGGGAAATGGGTGAGCAATACCGAACGTTGTGTGTATAAATTTATTTTATTCTTTATCTGAAGTACTTTTTATGAATGTAATGAAAAATTGAAAATAAAAACTTTTTACAAAAAAAAAAAAAGAGCTAGAAACTGGATAAAAGGCAGAGAAACGAAGAAAAAGAAACTTTTTCTAGCAGACGAGGACCGCTTCCCCCCCCCAAAAAAGATCCAAGGGGCTGCCACTCACCGTACATCTCGTCTTCCAGGCCGTGAACAAATGCGCCGCAGGCCCCCGATTCGATGAGGTTCACGGCTCCCGTGTCTATTTCTTCTTTGGGGGCATCGTCCCCCCATTTCCGGCCGCTTGAGAATTCCCCAGAGCTGTACAGCTCTTTCGCCCGTTCGTGAGCCGTGCGCTTTCGCTGTGGGCCAAACCGTCAAGGAAGTCAGACATTTTAACACCTTCCAACCGTTTCTTTTAAATCAGTGGTTCTCAACCTTTTTAATGCCGCGACCCCCAACTGGTCGTAAGTCGAGGACTACTCAACCGGTCATAAGTCGAGGACTACTCAACTGGCACCGTTTGCAGAATGGGACTTTTGGCGGGCTCACCAGGGCAGAGACAGCCTGGACAATTCCTATTGGCTTTTGAAAGCCAATAGAATTAGACTCTATTCAAGAGAGTCTGTTCTATTGGCTTTCGAAAGCCAATAGAATAAAAGGGAGGAGCACAGCTAAGGAAAAGGGGGAAAAAAATGGCAGACAGCCTTGTTTGGCGACCCCCGTGAAATGGTCGTTCGACCCCAAATGGGGTCCTGACCCACAGGTTGAGAACCCCTGTTTTAAATGATACACAGCTTAAGTCCTCGGTTAACGAGAAGAGACAGAATTTCCACCGTTCTCACACGACTGCTCTGCTTAGCGACGGAAATTCTGGAGCTTCCTATCAATGCGGTCGCTAAGCAAGGACCGTTCAGCTGCTCTTTTCATTCCCAAAGGGCTCTCTCTCTCTCTCAGCATCCCAATCCCCACCTCACAAGATTGTCGTTGTGAGGAAAAAAAGGTGGAGAAAGGTGTGTTGGATAGGATTGCCACCTTGAGTTATTTGTAAAAATAATAACGGCAGCGTGAAATGGAGTAGGGTAGGAGTAGGGGAAGAGTAAAATAATAAAACAAAATCAGAAAGGATTCAAAAGAATCAACTGTGCCACCTCCAGACTCCCAAGAAGCTTTATATTGATGCGGTTATTACTTGCAGATGCGTGAGGAAAATGTTTATATTTAATTGTCATTTATTTAAATAAGAATTGTATTCATTTAAGGTTGGCAGAAGAGAATGTTATTGGAAGAAGAGGAAATCAAGCAAAGCTATCATATGGACTCTAGAATTATAGAAATTAATTGTTATTTATTGGTTTTTAAACATTAACCCAGACAACCCGATGTTTACCAAATATTAAGGTGTATGTTAAAAATCAATAAAACATTTTTTTTTAAAAAAAATTGTGCAATCTCCAGACTCCCAGGGTTTGGAAATACAGGGTATAAGCTCCAGCCACAAAACAGAACAACCTGCCTCCAGAAGCAGTAAATGCTCCAACACTGGAAGTTTTAAGAAGAGACTGGACAGCCATTTGTCCGAAATGGTATAGGGTTTCCTGCCTGAGCAGGGGGTTGGACTAGATGACCTCCAAGGTCCCTTCCAACTTTACTAGTATTATTATTGTTATTGTTGTTGTTGTTGTTGTTGTTATTATTATTATTATTATTATTATTATTATTATTATTATTATTATTATTATTATTATTATTATTATTATTATTATTATTATTATTATTATTATGCCTTACCCTCAAATCTGACATCAGCTTCTTGTCCAAGGTCTGTTCTAAAAAATGAGAGCTGACTTGCTGCATAGACCCCTAAAAAACAGGTGGGAAAAACAGGAGCGTTCATCAGAAATGTCATTTTAATTCCAAGGAACATGAAGACAATTATTTAACTTGCATCTGGTAGGTGGGTGGAGAGTTTCAAGTCATTTCAAACTGGGTGATGCTAAGATCACGACAAATGTGCCCTTTTAAAACAGAGATTCCCCCAAATTTTGGCAACTTTCAGATTTATGGACTTCCAACTCCCAGAATTCCTGGGGAATTCCTGGGGAATTCTGGGAGTTGAAGCGCTATTATTCTATGTTCTGTGTTAAGTCTTGCAGTTGCCAAATTCGGAGAGAACCTGTCTTCAAACTTGGCCCTTTTATGACTTGTGGACTTCAACTCCCAGAGGTCCTCAGCCAGATACTCTGGCTGAGGACCTCTGGGAGTTGAAGTCCCCAAGTCATGAAGGGTCCATAGTTCGCCCATACTGGCTGAGGAATTCTGGGAGTTGAAGTCCCCAAGTCATGAAGGGTCCATAGTTCCCCCATACTGGCTGAGGAATTCTGGGAGTTGAAGTCCCCAAGTCATGAAGGGTCCATAGTTCGCCCATACTGGCTGAGGAATTCTGGGAGTTGAAGTCCCCAAGTCATGAAGGGGCCATAGTTCCTCCATGATGGCTGAGGAATTCTGGGAGTTGAAGTCCCCGAGTCATGAAGGGTCCATAGTTCGCCCATACTGGCTGAGGAATTCTGGGAGTTGAAGTCCCCAAGTCATGAAGGGTCCATAGTTCCCCCATACTGGCTGAGGAATTCTGGGAGTTGAAGTCCCCAAGTCATGAAGGGGCCATAGTTCCTCCATGATGGCTGAGGAATTCTGGGAGTTGAAGTCCACGAGTCATGAAGGGTCCATAGTTCCCCCATGCTGGATCAGGAATTCTGGGAGTTGAAGTCCTCAAGTCATGAAGGGGCTAAGTTTGAAGACCCCTGCTTTAGAATAACCCAGTCTCTTATTTCACATTCAAAGGATGTATGCCCAACACCTTTTTTTCACCCCATATAAATAAAAGAGACTCATCAATGGAGCCTTTTTTTCCCTTTCTCCCAGGCTTCCTTCACTCCTTTGAACTTCAGGGTGGGACTGTCTGAAGCTCAGCACAAAGGCAAATGGAGAGAACAAGGAAGCATTTTGGATTTCATATGGACCTGCTAGCAGGTGAGTTATGATCACCTTGGCAACTGAAAAGAAGAAGGAGAGAGCCCTTACCAAGAGCTTAGCTGCCTGGACTCTCACCACCCAGGAGCCATCGCTGACCATGTGGCAGATCTTCCCAAACGCATCGTCGACCAGCCGGATTTCTTCATTGGAAGATGGGATGGGGACAATGCTAGAGAGAAAAAGAGAGAGAGAGAAAGAGAGAGAGTGACACAGAGACACAGAGAGAGACAGACAGAGATAGAGACAGAGAGAGACAGAGAGAGAGTGAGACAGAAACAGAGACAGAGACAGAGAGCAAGAAAGAGAGAGCAAGAGAGAGAGACAGAGACAGAAAGAAAGAGTGAGAAAGAGACAGAGAGCGAGAGAGAGAGACAAAGACAGAGAGACAGAGAGAGAAAGAGACAGAGAGAGAGAGAAAGAGACAAAGACAGAGAGTGAAAAAGAGACAGAGCGAGAAAGAGAGACAAAGACAGAGACAGAGAGAGACAGAGAGAGCGAGAAAGAGACAAAGACAGAATGAGAAAGAGACAGACAGAGAGCGAGAAAGAGAGACAAAGACAGAGAGATAGAGAGAGAGAGACAGATAGACAAAGAGCGAGAAAGAGACAGAGAGCGAGAGAGAGACAGACAGAGAGCGAGAAAGAGAGACAAAGACAGAGACAGAGAGAGATAGAGAAAGAGACAGAGAAAGAGGGAGCGAGAAAGAGACAAAGACAGAATGAGAAAGAGACAGACAGAGAGCGAGAAAGAGAGATAAAGACAGAGAGATAGAGAGAGACAGAGAGAGAGACAGAGAGTGAGAAAGACAGAGAGAGAGAGAGAGAGAGAGACAGACAGACAGAGAAATGATATTACAGGTATTCCTTGACTTATCGCAGTTCCGTTTAGTGACCATTCAAAGTTGCAACGGCACTGAAAAAAGCGACTTATGATCGTATTTTTACATTTACAACCGTTGTGGCATCCCCACGATCATGAGATCAAAATTGGGACGGAGGCAATTGGTTCATATTTATGACAGTCGCAGCGTCCCAGAGGGGTCACGTGATCCCCTTTTGTGACCTTCTGATAAGCAAAGTCCATGGGGGAAGCCAGATTCACTTAACAACCGTGTGACTCACTTAACAACGGGCCAAAAACAGTTGTAAAATGGGGCAAAACGTACTTAACCTGTGTCTCACTTAGCGGCAGAAATATTGGGCTCAGCTGCGGTCGTGGGTCAAGGACCACCTGTATTTGCTTAACAACCACCCCCCCAAAAGATCCTAAAACTGGGTAACACCCCTGACCTTCTTTATTAGCTTTAGCTTTATTAGGCTCCATTAGGTTCACGACCCGAGGGCTATCTGTACACCAGATTTTCACTGCAACTTTTAAGATGTCTGGACTCCAACTCCCAGAATTCCCTTCCCAACTTAGCTTCTCCCAATCCTGTTTACATGTTCTCCTTCCTGTGGAACTACCTAACACTTGTACGTACCTTTCTGCGTAAAGCTGACTCAGGACCCAGGTAAGCTGCACCGCTACACTGCGGACCTGTTCATAATCATCCATTAAGAGTTTGCAAGCCTGCAACGGAAGATTGCCCAGGAGGTTATTAGCGGCCAGCCATTTCGCCGTTACAGGAAGTCCTCGACTTACAACAGTTCATTTAGTAGCCATTCGAAGTCGCAACGTCACTGGAAATAGTGACTTGTGACCAACTTTCACACTTATGACCATTGCAGCATCTCCAGCTTGCTTTCATGTCTAAGCAGGACTAGAACTCACCATCTCCTGGTGATTGGCCCAAAGTCACCCAGCTGGCTTTCATGACTAAGGCAGGACTAGAACTCACCGTCTCCTGGTGACTGGCCCAAAGTCACCCAGCTAGCTTTCGTGTCTAAGCAGGACTAGAACTCACCATCTCCTGGTGATTGGCCCAAAGTCACCCAGCTGCCTTTCATGTCTAAGCAGGATTAGAACTCAGCGTCTCCCACTTTCTAATCTGGTGCCTTAACCACTAGACCAAAACCTAATCAAAGCAAACCCCCTTAATATTTCTCTGGGATTCATCAAATATTAGAGCTCTTTGCTAAACTGATATAGCACGTAATTGTTACCTGGTTATAAATGGCTTGCTGCAACTTTAATCCCCTCTCGTGAAGCTGCAACTATAGAAAAAGAAACAAACACCAGACTGTTATTATAGCAATTCAAAGAACATAAGTTTTTTGCAAAACAACATGAAAATGTGTTGGAATACAAGTTTGCATGCATTTTGTGCAACAACCACAGCCAACCAATAGATGGCAGCGTTTATAAGTTTGCATCTATGGTATGTATGTGTGTATGTGTTTGTATATATGTATATGTATGTATACAGCCTACCACCCAGGATGGTGCAACACAGAACTCAGGATATCACTACACTAGATCTCAGGATGTCATCACACAACCCATTACCCAGGTCGTTACAACACAAAAGACTAATGGGCACACAGCCAGCACCTCAGCTACTCAGGATGTTACGAAACAGCCAAACAATCCACAAACAATAACTCCAACACAGCCAACCAACCGTCCTACAGCAACTAAGCAGCAGTCTACACACCCCCACCAATATTTATAGAGAGACGGCAGCTCCGATCACACTTTACTTGCACAAGCACGAAGCCGAAGACCCCAGCCTGAAGATGACGAGTGGGACCTCATTGAAACGTCACACGCCAAGACCTACATATGTATGTGTGTGTGTGTGTGTGTGTGTGTGTGTGTGTATGTTTTCTGAGGTTTTCGCGGGTGTTTGTATGTAGGTCTTTGGTTATTCGGGTTTTTTCCCGCGTAAAATTGGAAGTGTCTTGGCGACGTTTCGATGAAGTCCCATTCGTATCTTCAGGCTGGTGCTTTCGGCTTCGCGCTTCTAGGAGCCAAGACACTTCCAATTTTACGCGGGAAAAAACCCAAATAACCAAAGACCTACACACACACACATATGCATATGTATGTGTGTGTATGTGTGTGTATGTGTGTGTGTGTGTGTGTGTGTATTTGTTTTCTGAGGTTTTCGCGGGTGTTTGTATGTAGGTCTTTGGTTATTCGGGTTTTCTCCCGCGTCAAATTTGACGCGGGAGAAAACCCGAATAACCAAAGACCTACATACAAACACCCGCGAAAACCTCAGAAAACATATATACATACATACATACATACATACATACATACATACATTCATTCATTCTATGTCTTTTTGTTCTGAGTAAAGTTTCCCCAACTCCTGTTGCAGTTAAGGAGAAAAACCCATGGTGACTGTACACTTTGTTCTGAATACAGAATTTCTAACAAAATGTTACCAGGATTTTGGCTACATTTCCATAGCCCATTACTACAAAGGTCAACTCCAGTACAGATCATCTTCAAGTTATGACTAGTCGCTTAGCCACCGTTCAAAGTTACGATGGACCCACCTTGGGGGTAGCTACAACCTAGTTCTGACGTTTCAACAGTGGGGAGCCCTCCACAATCGGGGTGACCAAACTACGGGCAACACGGCCGCATTTACAGACGTTTGCAGGACCCTGCAATCGCATGACCACATTTTACAATGAGTTTACTGAAAATGAGCACTTCCAATTTTTCAACAGGACTGAAGTCCTCAAGTCATAAAAGAGCCAAGGTTCCCCCCCACCACCTTGGGCTAACCTCTACTTGTACATCTATACCAAGGATTTCCTTGTCAACTTTCAGACTTGTGGACTTCAGTTCCCAGAATTCCACAGCCAGCTGGGGTATTCTGGGAGTTGAAGTCTACAAGTCTGAAAGTTGACAAGTTTGGAGACCCCTGATCTAGACCAAGGAATTTTTTTTTTCCTGAGAATTGCCAGAGTTAAGCCTGTTACCTTCTACTAAGCTCCATAGTTAATTCTAAACCACTATTCTTCTCAGGCAGACCTACCATAGCCTTGATAGCTGCAGTCCTAACGCGTGGATCCTGGTCGCTGAAGTGATCCCCTATGATCTTCTGCACGTCTTTGGGAGACTGGCGTTCCACTTCCTTCGAGACAGCTTTCTCCACTGTCCCCAGACAGCCAATCAGGAGCAGGCATTTGTTCCTTACACCGTGCGAGGAATCTGTCAAATGCTGATGGAGCAAAAAGGGAAAAGTAGATTCCCCCATGATTTTTTTCTGCTTTCTGCATGTCAGGAGGGACCACGATAAACTTTATAAACGATTATTATCCATTGTGTCGGGAAGAAATGTTGAAAAACATTGATCTTGTACCAGGGGTGTCCATCTTTGGCAACTTTAAGCCTTGGGGACTTCAACTCCCAGAATTCCCCAGCCAGCATAGCTAGCTAAGGAATTCTGGGAAATGAGGTCCACATGAGATCCATACAAGGCCTTGGTAAGGCCACACTTGGAATCCTGCATCCAGTTTTGGTCATCACAATATAAAAAAGATGTTGAGACTCTAGAAAGAGTGCAGAGAAGAGCAACAAAGATGATTAGGGGACTGGAGGCTAAAACATACAAGGAACGATTGCTGGAATTGGGGATGTCTAGTTTAATGAAGAGAAGGACAAGGGGGGACATGATAGCAGTGTTCCAGTATCTCAGGGGCTGCCACAAAGAAGAGGGGGTCAAGCTATTTTCCAAAGCACCTGAAGGCAGGACAAGAAGCAACAGATGGAAACTAATCAAAGAGAGAAGCAACCTAGAACTAAGGAGAAATTTTCTGACAGTTAGATCAATTAACCAGTGGAACAACCTGCCTCCAGAAGCTGTGAATGCTCCAGCACTGAAGGTTTTTAAGAAGAGACTGGACAGACATTTGTCTGAAATGGTATAGGGTTTCCTGCCTGAGCAGGGGGTTGGACTAGATGACCTCCAAGATCCCTTCCAACTATTATTATTATTATTATTATTATTCATTAGATGTGAAATCAGTCAACTGAACATTCAAATTGACTGGCGCTGATGGCTGACACGGGTTGCTACCAACATCCTAGGTGTCAACCAGGTACCTCCTTAAAATGCAAGATGTTCCGAGTAGCGCAGTTTTTTGTAGCATTGCTGGAGTTATTGCAGGAAGCTGCAGTTTCTTGATGTGTTTTGCAAAGTTTTTGGACATAGTTCCCAGTGCCCCAATGACAATGGGTATCAGTGTTACACGTTTCATCCAAAATCACGCAGTTTCAATGGCCAGGTTGCAATAGAAACATATAGTAATAATAATAGAATGATAATAGAAATTATTATTGTTGCTTTGTTGTTGTTGTTGTTATTAGTAGTCTTAAAAGTTGCCAAGACTGGATACCATCAAATAACTGAAAGATCTATACCAGGGGTCTTCAAACATGGCCCTTTTATGACTTGTGGACTTCAACTCCCAGAATTCCTCAGCCAGGCATGCGTGCCTGGCTAAGGAATTCTGGGAATTGAAGTCCACAAGTCATAAAAGGGCCAAGTTTGAAGACCCCTGATCTATACCGTCAAATAACTTAAAAAAAAAAAAAACCTCTTAAGCTGAGTTTTTTCGTTGGCTGACCATCTTGAATTACCTTGCAGGCTACGTCTACAAGACGCCCTCGGACGGCAGGATTTTCCTGAAGCTCATTCCCAATCACCAGCAAAGTATCCAAAAGCTGAGCCAGAACTTGGTGAGATTCTGGAAAACAAACCAAAAAAAGCCACATGTACTCACAAGAAGACACAGCGTAACAACCATGCTATAGAAAAAGGACAAGCTACTTATGTCAAACTCCACCCTCACTAGCACGGATAATGTTACCTAGTTAGGTAATTAAACGTTAGAAAGCAAACCGCCACAACTCAGACAGCACCAAGGACTCTTAAGAGGGTCTTGTTCTTGAATGGGAATCGATTGGCCAAGGATCGTAACAATAATAGAATAACAGAATAGAATTTTTTATTGGCCAAGTGTGATTCAACACAACAAGAAATTTGTCTCCGGTTGCAGAAGTTCCCAGTGTAGATATAAGCCACAAGAGATAAATCATGATCATAATCAACATAAAAATACGTATCATAAATAAATCGTAAGATACAACACTTAGAAATAGTCATCGGATACTAAATAAGCAAACAACATAAATCATACTAGGATACTAAATAAAAGAATATAAATCGTTAAGATACACGCCACAAAGTTAAAGTCCTAAGTAAATTAGGAGAAAGGTAATAGGAAAGTTGAGAGTAATCGCATCGGCTAGATTCTGCGCAGCAGCACTGGGGATTAGCCAGAAACATAAATAAACATTTTAGATCTTTTCAATCATCTTTTATAATCAATTTTATTACATGTTTTTATCCAGCATTAGACTATAGTCAATGTTATTTTTATTGTCAGGTCAGTATGATTCAGTTTTTCTGAAGCTAGCTCGTTTTTTTTATATACTGTCTGTAAAACTAGGCAGACCTTGGTCACCCATTGATTACATCATTAATGGCTATATATTGCTATGTCTTCTTGTGTTGGTTCTGTTTATTTTTGTTTTATTTGAATGTTTTATTTATGTGTTGGCCTTTGGCTGTAATAATAATAAATTGAATTGAATTGAGAATAATAGCAATACAGCCTTACTAAGTAGTTTGACAAGAGTTGTAGGAATTAGTTGTTTAGCAGAGCGAGGGCATGGGGGAAAAAAACTGTCCTGGTGTCTAGTTTTAGTGCCATATTCTACAAACACAGAGACATACACACAGTTTCATTCACTCACTCACTCACTCACTCATTCACAAGAGAACAAGAACGCAATCTGGGGCTGACTTGGCTGGTGTTCCCGCAACAAACCATGGCAGGATTATTTTTAAACGATGGATTATTTTTAAACAATCCACAGTGGCCTAATTCTAAGTAACACAGAGAGCAAACAGCAGTCAAGCTTCTCATACAGACAGTCCTCAATTTAAAACCATTCTTTTAGTATCCATTTGAAACACTGAAAAAAGGGACTCTTTAAGTTGGCGCTGAAAAAAGGGACTTTTTAAGAAGAGGGCTTTTTTTTTTTTAAAGAGGTTTTTCAAGAAGACAGTGATTAATATTTATATGTTACTTATAGTGTAAATGTGTAGGTCTGGACATGTTATATAGCGTGTTTAAATGTGTGTTAGGTATGTGTACACTTTGAGAGTAAGCAACTAAAATTCATTTTTAATGTGTGCCATTGTGCCTACAGTAAAAAATGACAATAAAAGTTATCTGTCTGTCTGTCTGTCTATCATCTATCATCTATTCTATCTATCTATCATCTATCTAATCTATTCATTATCTATCTATCATCTATTTATCTATCTATCCATCTATCTAATCCAGTGGTTCTCAACCTGTGGGTCGGGACCCCATTTGGGGTCGAACGACCATTTCATGGGGGTCGCCAAACAAGGCTGTCTGCCATTTTTCCCCCCTTTCCTTTGGCCACGCCCCTGGCACCTGGTGATGTATAAGTGGTTGGGGGTCACCACAACATGGGGAACTGTATTATGGGGTCGCGACTTTAGAAAGCTTGAGAACCACTGATCTAATCTATCTACTCTTGCTCATCTCTCATCTACCTAATCTATCTATCCTATCCTATATAATCTAATCTAACCTAATCTATCTACCTATCTTTATCTATCTATCTATCTATCTATCTATCTATCTATCTATCTATCTATCTATCTATCATCTATCTAATCATTCTATCTATCTAATTCAGGGGTGTCAAACTGCCGGCCCGCGAGCCAGTTTCATCATACCAGAGCTGCGCCCACCCCATTGCCGGCAATAGTGAAAAAATCTCCGATATGTTGCGCGACGTCACAAGTTTGACATGTCTAATTCATTATCTCTATCATCTATCATCTCTCTATTTAATCTATCTACTCTCACTCATCTCTCATCTATCTCTCTATCATATAATCCAGTGGTTCTTAACCTGGGCGATATTGCCCCCCAGGGGGCGATTTCATTTTTCAAGGGGGCGATGGAACAAAAAAGGGGCGATATGGGGGCAATGGAGTGAGAGGTTTTGGGGACACTTTTGAGACTTTTTCGTACAGTGAATCGCTGTATATCTGTCGTACAAAAACATCAGATGATCGCTCTTAGTGGATTGAATTGTGTTTTCAAATGTTCCTCCAGCTAGCTTCAGTACAGAACGCCGTACATATGTGAAGACGCATCGCTTATCTTCATGCGTGTTGCACAGCAGCCTCTACCCATACAGTAGCGCGCCATTGGCCAGAATATGGGAGATATGGGAAAAAGACTGGAAATAAATGATTTGCATCGATATGTCCTGATGACAGTTTTAAAGAAATCAAAAAAAGTGTTTGCATAAATTGAAGAATTATTTCCTATGTTGTGATTGAGAGGTTATGTTGGGGGAGGGGGGCGATGACAACTTCCTCATTGGCTCAAGGGGGCGATTCGTTCAAAAAGGTTAAGAACCACTGATCTAATCTATTCATTATCTATCTATCTATTCTCTCGCTCATCTCTCATCTATCTATCTATCCATCCATCCATCCATAAAAGATTGGACAACCACTTGCTGCTTGAGGAGAGGATGGACTAGAGGACCTCCAAGATCCCTTCCAACTGTTATTCTGACTTATGACCCTTTTTCACATGTAGGACCACTGCAGCATCCCCACAGTCGCATGATCGAAATTCAGCGCCTTGGCATCTGACATGTATTTGCACTGTCCTGGGATCATGTGATCACGGTTTGTAACCTTCCCAGCCAGCTTCCCACAAGCAAAGGAAAGCCAAATTCGCTTCTCGATTGCACGATTCACTTGACAACTATAGTAACTCGCTTTATGGGAAAGAAGGTCCCAAAATGGGACACAACTCAATGAACCACTTCCTTGCTCAGCAACAGAAATTTTGGATTCAATTGTACTCATAAGTTGAGGACTACCTGTTACTTTATTCTACAAACACACAGGCATACCCACACACAGTTCTTTCTTTCTTTCTTTCTTTTCTTTCTTTCTTTCTTTCTTTCTTTCTTTCTTTCTTTCTTTCTTTCTTTCTTTCTTTCTTTCTTTCCTCTTTCTTTTTCTTTCTTTCTTTCTTTCTTTCTTTCTCTTTTTCTTTCTTTCTTTTTCTTTCTCTTTTCTTTCCTTCCTCCCTCCCTTCCTTTCTTTCCTTCCTTCCCTTTCTTTCCTTTTCCTCCTTCCCTTTCTTTTCTTTCTTTTTTCTTTCTTTTCTTTTTCTTTCTTTTCTTTCCTTCCTCCCTCCCTTTCTTTCCTTCCTTCCTTCCCTCTTTCCTTTCCTTTCCTTCTCTCTCTCTCTCCCCCTCCCTCCCTCCCTCCCTCCCTCCCTCTCTTTCTTTCTTTCTTTCTTTCTTTCTTTCTTTCTTTCTTTCTTTCTTTCTTTCTTTCTTTCTTTCTTTCTTTCTTTTTCTTTCTGAAAGTGTACTTGGCCACACAACTCACTCATGGTGACTCCAGGAAGCTCATTGCCTCGCATGCTTTACATATCATGAAACAATTCTTTAGTTGGGGGGAAAAAACCACTTACTTTCAGTTTGGAGGGTGTTAACAACATCATCCAGAATGCAGTCAGGAGAAAAACCAGGAGTTCTTGATAGCAGGCCCAGCAAGGAAGCAATTTTCAGTCTGACAGAGGGATCATTTTCCTGGGTGATAAGAGAAGGGTGTCAAAACAGCCTCTTGCCTTCCTATAGCCGGCTCTGTTGCATGATAAACCAGGTGTGCAATTCACTAAACCACGTAATTCACTTAACAACTGTGCCAAAAAAAGGTCATAAAATCGGGTACGGTCACACTTATCGATTGTACAGCTTGATAATCACCACGATGTAAAAAAGATGTTGAGACTCTAGAAAGAGTGCAGAGAAGAGCAACAAAGATGATCAGGGGACTGGAGGCTAAAGCATATAAGGAACGGCTGCTGGAATTGCGTAGGTCTAGTTTAACGAAGAGAAGGACGAGGGGGGACATGATAGCAGTATTCCAATATCTCAGGGGCTGCCCCAAAGAAGAGGGAGTCAAGCTCTTCTCCAAGGCGCCTGAAGGCAGGACAAGGAGCAATGGATGGAACCTACCAAGGAGAGAAGCAATCTGGAACTACGGAGAAATTTCCTGACAGTTCGAACAATTAACCAGTGGAGCAACCTGCCTCCAGAAGCTGTGAATGCTCCAACACTGGAAATCTTTAAGAAAAGACTGGACAGCCATTTGTCTGAAATGGTATAGGTTTCCTTCCTGAGCAGGGGGTTGGACTAGATGACCTCCAAGGTCCCTTCCAACATTATTATTATTATTATTATTATTATTATTATTATTATTATTATTGATCCTCCCACAGTCAGTCAGGTGTTCAGACTGGATTTGGCATTTTGTCTACCTATCAAGTCCTTAGCCAGGACCTGGGATAGGCAGATGTGGATGTTTGATGGTATTACAGATATCGTCGCAGGATGGAAGCAGTTCCTAATTGACTAATAGCGAATTTGTCAATGCCAATGGTGTTCAAGTGGTGCTCCAGTTGTTTTGGGATTGCACCCAAGGAGCCTATGACTATTGGTACTACCATTATTATTATTATTATTATTATTATTATTATTATTATTATTATTACAAATTTTCCAGATATTTATTTTATTTTGTCAAATTTAGTCGCTGCCTATCTCACCATGGGCTTCTTCTTGGCTACTTACAATAATAAAAAGAAAGAAAATAAAAGGAGTGTAAACAGAAGTAAGCTAATGGAAAAATAAACAATAACAAAGGAACACAATGAGAATAATACAGGTAATCCTGAGGACCCAGATTGTTGGGGGCAATGTAAATATATATATATATACATTGCTTACTGGTGTACACCGCTTAGAGAGTGCTTGCACTTAAAGCGGTATATAAGTCTCATAAATAAATAAATAAATAAATCCTTGACTTACAACCGACTGTTCAGTGACTCTCCAAAGTGATGGCACTAAAAAAAGGGACTTATGACTGTTTTTCACACTTACGACCGTCGCTGCATCCACATAGTCACATGATCAAAATGCAGACGCTTGGCAACTGGTTCGTATTTATGAGAGTTGCAGTGCTCTGGGGGGGGGGGATGTCACGTGGTCCCCTTTTTCAGCCTCCTGACAAGCAAAGTTAATGGGAAAGCCAGAAATACATTTAACAACTAACTTAAGTTTACTAACTTAACTGCAGTGAGTCTCTTAACAACTGCGCCAACGAAGTTCGTAAAATGAGGCAAAATTCACTCGCTTACTGACAGAAATGTTGGGCTCCATTGTGATGATGTCGAGGACTACCTGTCCATCAATATGATAAGCAAAAGGAGGGAGGGAGGGAGGGATAGCAGAGAGCAAGTGGGGGGGGCGGCGGCAGGTGGAATGTGCCATCAATCCCAGTTTCCACTGTGCTCATAAATCAAGAACTACCTGTAAATCTCAAACGTGGTTTTACCATAGAATTGAGCTGGAAGGGACCTTGGAGGTCTTCTAGTCCAGCCCCCTGCTCAAGCAGGAGAACCTATACCATCTCAGACAAGTGACAGCTCAGGGGTAGGCAATCTTGGCTGTTTTATGACTCCCAGAATTCCTGAGCCAGCATGGGGGAACTATGGCCCCTTCATGACTCGTGGACTTCAACTCCCAGAATTCCTCAGCCAGCATGGGGGAACTATGGCCCCTTCATGACTCGTGGACTTCTCCCACTTCCTCAGAAGGGGGAACTATGGCCCCTGCATGACTCGTGGACTTCAACTCCCAGAATTCCTGAGCCAGCAAGGCTCAGCTTGGAAACCTCTCCCTTTCCCCTCAGCATGGCTGGCTCAGGAATTCTGGGAGTTGAAGTCCACGAGTCATAAAAGAGCCAAGGTTGCCTACCCCTGGTCTAGCCTCTTCTTAAAAATCTCCAGTAGTGGAGCGCCCACGATTTCTGGTGGCAAGCTGTTCTACTGGTTGATTGTCCTCACTGTCAGGAAGTTTCTCCTTACTTCCAGGTTGCTTCTCTCTTTGTTCAGTTTCCAACCATTGTTTTTTGTCCTGCCCTCTGGTGCTTTGGAGAATAGCTTGACTCCCTCTTCTTTGTGGCAGCCCCTCAAATACTGGAACACTGCTATCATGTCTCCCCTATTTCTTCTTTTCTTTAGACTAGCCAAGTCCCGCAGCCGTTCTTCATATGTTTTAGTCTCCAGGCCTTTGATCATCTTAATTGCTCTTCTCTGAACTTTTTCCAAACTCTCAAGTCTTTTTTGTGATCTGGTGACCAAAATTGGCTGAGGTATTCCAGGTGTGGCCTTACTAGGGTTTTATAAAGCGGTACTAATACCTCGTGTAATCTTGATTCTATGCCTCTGTTTATACAACCCAAGATTGTATTAGCTTTTGGGGCTGCTACTGCACACGGCCGGCTCATGGTCAAGTTTCTCCTCCCACAGAATTGTCCTACCTTGTAATAATGTTCCAGCAAGATTCGCACGACACCCTCCACGCTTTCAGCTTCTACAGGTTTTCGAGCAAACTGAAGAAGATACTGCAACGCATCGGCGGGCGATGTGGCCTTGCAAAGGTCTACATGAAGGGCAGCGGATTTGCTGGGCTTGGTTAGCCGGAGTTTTTTGGCCGAAATTTCTTCATGCTGCTGTTGCTGAAACATTAAGGCAGAGTTTACACTACGGTCAATTTTTTTCTTTTGTTTAGAATGGACTTCTTTACATCTTTTTGTTTTATTATTATACTACCATAACAACCCTCGGTATTACAGATAGTCCTCAACTTACAACCGTTCATATAGTGACCGTTCAAAGTTACAATGGCACTGGAAAAAGTGACTTATGACCATTTTTCACACTTACGACCTTTGGAGCAGCCCCATGGTCACGTGATCAAAATTCAGGCGCTTTGGCAACTGGTTCATATTTATGATGGTCGCAGTGTCCCCCGGGGTCACGTGATCCTCTTTTGCGACCTTCTGACGAGCAAAATCAATGGGGAAGCCAGATTCACTTAACAACCGTGTTGCTGACTTAACAGCTGTGGTGTTTCGTTTAATAACGGTGGCAAGGAAGGTTGCAAAATGAGGCAAAGCTCACTTAACAAATGTCTCATTTAGCAACAGAAATTTTGGGGCTCAACTGCGGTCCTAAGTCGAGGACTATCTTTGTGGATGTTGTGTTATTGCCTCAACAAGCATTTCTCATCTTCAAAAATATGACCAATCCTTGGTGCTTCTCTGACCTGGGTTGTTTTCTTGCAAGATGTTTCATTACCCCAAAACTAGGTAAAGTTAGTGATATATATAAGAAAGTGCATGGAAAAAAAATATTTTAAAAATGGTCTGAAAAATATGTATGGGAGACTATCCAAGAGAAATACGGAAGAAAAGGTATATAAAAATATATAAAAGAAGTGTATAGATGCTATACTTCCCCCCCCCCCCCAAGCATCACACGTCGTGTTCACACGGTCCTACTAACTCGGGTCAAGTGTAACGTGAGAACCCGACCATTTCCTTGGGACGTAGAGTGCCTGAAGCATAGAAGGCGCTGCCTGCTTCGATAACCCGGGTTCAACATGTCGTGTGAAGCCAGCCAGCCAACCAGGCGTTTCACCCCAACCCACCCCGGACTCCCCCCCCCAGCCCCACAGGTTGGTTTCCATAAACTCCCTCCGACCCCGACCCCTCCTTCCCTCCTGGAGACCCTCGCGGCTACCTGGACCACCACTTTACTGAACTCCTCGTAGACCCGCTTCTTCAGGTGAGCCGCCATCCCGGAGGCCTGGCGAACCCGCCGAGCTTCGCCTTCCGCCTACTGAGGAGCCTTTTCGGCCGCCATAGCCGCTCTGCCCGTCCCTCTCGCTCGTTCCTTCTCGTTTGCACTCTCTCTCATCCTCGCTGGAAAGGCGGGGGCGGTCCTCGTCTCTCGACTTTCATCAGCCGTGACTTCAGGTTGTCAAAGGGCAGCTTTCTGAGTCTTCCATTTGCGGGATCAGAGTGGCGGAAGTCAATGGAAGTAGTGCAGATATGACTTGTCGAGAGGGTGGCTTTCGCTGGAGCAGATTCAGGGAGAATGGAAATACATAACATATAACATATAACTAATCAAGGAGAGAAGCAACCTAGAACTAAGGAGAAACTTCCTGACAGTGAGAACAATTAACCGGTGGAACAACCTGCCTCCAGAAGCGGTGAATGCTCCAACACTGGAAGTTCTTAAGAAGAGACTGCACAGCCATTTGTCTGAAATGGTATAGTGTTTCCTGCCTGAGCACGGGGTTGGATTAGATGACCTCCAAGATCCCTTCCAACTTTACTATTATTATTATTATTATAACATTAGGATAGGATAGGATAGCATAGCATAGCATAGAGCTGGAAGGGACCATGGAGGTCTTCTAGTCCAGCCCCCTACTCAAGCAGGAGACCCTATACAAGGGGGTCTTCAAACTTGGCCCTTTTATGACTTGTGGACTTCAACTCCCAGAATTACTCAACCAGCGTGCCTGGCTGAGGAATGCTGGGAGTTGAAGTCCACAAGTCATAAAAGGGCCAAGTTTGAAGACCCCTGGCCTGTAGCATTTCAGACAAGTGACTGTCTAGTGACTAGTCTCTTCTTAAAAATCTCCAGTGGGCTTGACTTCCTCGCTGAAAATTCACTCCATAGACAGCTGGTAAAGAGGTGCAGTTGAGGTGGATTTATCCTACAAGGCAGATTTTCTCAACCTTGGCAAGTTTGAAAGATGTGTGGACTTCGTCTATGGAAATTCTTGTCCTCAGGTCATGGTTGGCCCAAAAGTGCTTTTTTTAGGTGGTAACTGGATTTCCTTGTTTTTCTTTGAAGACGTTTCGCCTCTCCTCCGAGAAGCTTCTTCAGCTCCGACTGGATGGTGGGGAATGGAAAGATTTATATTCCTTGCAGCCAGTTGGTCATTTGCATTCTTTTAGAGCAGGGGTGTCAAATTCAATTTCACTGAGGGCCGCATCAGCATTGCGGTTGCCCTTGGGGGGGGCAGGTGGGTGTGGCCAGGGTGGGTGCAGCCTACTGGGTGGGCGTGGATGGAATGGGTGCGGCCTACTGGGTGGGCGTGGTCAGTTCTACATCATTCGTGTCAAGGGTGCCTGTGGGGGCTGGGCAGGAGTGGGACAGATCTGAGGGTCTCTGGCAGAAGGGGGTGGAACTGGGGCAAGTGCCAAGATGGCCACCACAAAATTGTACATTGGCTCCCGGCTGGCCTGGGCCAGGGCCAAGGCAGCGGGGGCCGTTCCCTCACTGTTTCCAGGATGGCTTCGTGGGCCACATGAAACCACTTCACGGGCCGCATCCGGCCCCCGGGCTTTGTGTTTGCCATGTCTGTTTTAGAGGGTCATTGAGGCCACTTGGAGGTTTACCTGTGTCCTCAGGGTGACCTGACTAGTGAAAATGAGCGTGCTGAAAACAGTTCCAAGAAGGCCCCGCAGACATTTGCACTACTTAGGTGACACCGAGGACACAGGTAAGCCGCCAGGTGGCCTCAACGACTCTCAAAAAGGATGCAAATGACCAGTTTTTCTGCAAGGAATATAAATCCTTCCATTCTCCACCATCCAGTCAGAGCTGAAGAAGCTTCTGAGATGAGAAGCAAAACGTCTTCCAAGAAAAACAAGAAAGTCCAGTCCTGAAAAAAAGCACCTTTGGATGTGTGGATTTTAAACTCCCAGAAGTCTGGCATTTACGTCCGGACAACTTAAACTTGCACAGCTTGGGAAACACTGGTATATAGGTAGCCCTCAATTTACAACCACAATTTGGCCCCAAATTTCCAATGCTAAGCAAAGCAGTTGTTCAGTGAGTTGTGCCTCATTTTATGACCTTTTTAACCACAGTTGTTAAATGAATCCTTGCAGTTTGTTAAGTGAATCATGCGGTCATTAAGCAAATTAGGCTTCCCTTGTTGACTTTGCTTGTCAAAGGGTGGTTATGTAGTCCCGGGACACTGCAACCGTCATAAATATGAGTCGGTTGCCAAACATCTGAAATTGGATCGTAGTGACCAGGGCTTTTTTTCTCATAGAATGTCCAGAACAGAGTTCTGGCACCTTTTTGGGATGGAACCTTGTAGGGTAAGCAAGGCGGGTTGTATGACGTGTGTGAGTTCCTGCACTTTTTTTTTTTTTTAGAAAAAAAGCACTGGTAGTGACCATGGGGATGCTGCATTGGTCGTTAAGTGTGAAAAATGGTCATATAAGTCTCTGTTTTCAGTTCCATTGTAATGAAAAAAAATGGCTGTAAATCAAGGACTACTTTTGAAAGAATGCTGCTGTCCTTGTGTGTATTTGAAGTCATGACAACAATTGTATCCTTGTTCTTTAGGAATGTTTGAATAAATCACATGCATCAGATTTATTTCCTTTTACTGTATTTGCTGGCATCACTGTTATTTGGACTGGAGCAGCTTGGTGTTTGGTTTTGGGTTTGTTTTTTTTTACACTGAGTTAGCTTTTGCTTCCCTTGAATTTGCTTTCCTAAATTGAGAAACACTGGGTTAAGGTGCTGAACCAAAAGTCAGAGATTTATTCATTCATTTCTTTCTTTCTTTGTTCGTTTTTACAAATAACTCCAGGCAGTAAACATATCCAACACACTTTCTTCCCCCTATTTATCCCATAGCTAGAACTTTGTGAGGTGAGTAGGGCAGAGAGAGAGAGACTGGCCCAAAGTCACACAGCTGGCTTTCATGGCTAAGGCAGGACTAGAACTCACCGTCTCCTGATGCTTGACCCAAAGTCACCCAGCTGGCTTTCATTCCTAAGGCGGGACCTGAACTCACTGTCTCCTGGTGATTGGCCCAAAGTCAACCAGCTGGCTTTCATGCCTAAGGCGGGACCTGAACTCACTGTCTCCTGGTGATTGGCCCAAAGTCACCCAGCTGGCTTTCATGCCTAAGGCGGGACCAGAACTCACTGTCTCCTGGTGATTGGCCCAAAGTCACCCAGCTGGCTTTCATGCCTAAGGCGGGACCAGAACTCACTGTCTCCTGGTGATTGGCCCAAAGTCACCCAGCTGGCTTTCATGCCTAAGGCGGGACCAGAACTCACTGTCTCCTGGTGATTGGCCCAAAGTCACCCAGCTGGCTTTCATGCTTAAGGCGGGACTAGAACTCACTGTCTCCTGGTGATTGACCAAAGTCACCCAGCTGGCTTTCATGCCTAAGGCGGGACCAGAACTCACTGTCTCCTGGTGTTGACCCAAAGTCACCCAGCTGGATTTCACCACTAAGGCGGGACTAGAACTCACCATCTCCCACTTTCTAGCCTGGTGTCCTAACCACTAGACCAGTGGTTCTCAACCTGTGGGTCGGGACCCCATTTGGGGTTGAACGACCATTTCACGGGGGTCGCCAAACAACACAGTCCGCCATTTTTTCCCCCTTTTTCCTTAGCTGTGCTACTCCCTTTTATTCTATTGGCTTTTGAAAGCCAATAGAATAGACTCTCTTGAATAGAGTCTAATTCTATTGGCTTTCAAAAGCCAATAGGAATTGTCCAGGCTGTCTCTGCCCTGCTGAGCCCACCAAAAGTCCCATTCTGCAAATGGTGCTGCACCAGTTGAGTAGTCCTCGACTTACGACCGGTTGAGTAGTCCTCGACTTACGACTGGTTGAGGGTCGCGGCATTAAAAAGGTTGAGAACCACTGCACTAGACCAAAGTGGGTTAGGGTTAGTCATTCCTTCGACATGAAAACCAAAAGGATCATCCTGAATGAATCAACTGTTTCTCAGCCCTGATCAGTGTCCCTGCAACAATGCCGGTTAAAAGAAAAATCTACTTTCACATCCTGGATGGATAACTTTGCTGGGTGGATGAGATGAGCATGGGGCAAAAAGCAACAAGGCAGTTTGGCGTAGTAGTTATTCTGGAAGGAATTCCTCCAGTGCTCACTGAATAATTAATTATTGCAGTGAGCCTTTTAATTATTGGCTCTGGGGCCCTGCATTTGATTCCACGAGGTATGAAGAGAAACGTAAGGGAGAAAAGATTTCGTAATCTGACTTGGTCTCTCCAGATGTCATCCTTAGTGAAGTGTGCAAACTCTTGTCTGCATTTCCTGCGTCGGGCGAGGAGAGCACCTCTTTCTCCTCCTGTCCTGGCCACTTTTTACAGAGGCACAACGGAGAGCATTGTGCATCACATAACAAACGGCATCACGGTCTGGTTTGGTGGTAGCAGAGCCTCAGATGGAAGGTCCACACAGAGAGTGGTAAGGACAGCCGAGAAGATTATATGAAGCTCATTTCCCGTGATTCAGGATACGGCTTACAAGCGCTTATATACACTTAGAGCTCAGAGCATTGTTAGAGACACCCCCCCCACACACACACACTTCATTGTCTGTTTCTGTTTCTCCCCTTTGGGAGGAGGTTTTGAAGTATTTATAGCAGGACTACCAGATTCTGTAACAGCTTTGTTCCCTAAGCCACGGGTCCTCAAACCCTGGTCCATGGACTAGTACTGGGCCGTGGCATGCCAGCAACCAGTCCGCACAAATAAGCAAAGCCCCATCCGCGAGATGTGGGCAGCACACAAAACCACGCACCCTCCGGTCCATGGAACTAGCCCCTGATGCCCAAAAGGTTTTTCTCGCCATGTACATGTATACATCCGAACTAGACTGTGTTGTTTCTCTGTATCATGGAATATATGTGGGTATATGGACTTTTTTTTTGTCATATTTATATTGGAGGTGGTGTATGCAACGAAATTCCATTTTAATGTATGCCGATTAGTGTACATTTAAAGTAACAATAAAATTATTATAAGTTTTAATCTTGAAGGGAACATGAGACAGAAACTCAAATTAACTTAATCTCGACTTTGCTTACTATAAGAGGAGCAGAGAGAAATTTATGCAGGTTTTTGGGATTCTGTTACTATATCCAACCTACAACAATAATGTAGTACAGGAAGACCTCGACTTACATTTCGGTTGCTAAGCGAGATGGTTGAGAAGTGAGTTTTGCCCCATTTTACAACGTTTCTTGCCTCCATTGTTAAGTGAATCATTGCAGTTGTTAAGTTAGTGACATGGTTACTAAGTGAATCTGGATTTCCCCCTTGATTTTGCTTGTCAGAAGGTCACAAAAGGGGATCACAAGACCCCGGGACATTGCAACCGTCATAAACATGAGTCAGTTGCCAAGTGTCTGAATTTTGCTCCCGTGACTGTGGGGATGTTGCAATGGTCGTAAGCGTGCAAAACGGTCATAACTCACTTTTTTCGGTGTCGTTGTAATATCAAATGGTCACTAAATGAATGATTGTAAACCAAAGACTACCTGTATCTCTGACATCTCTGCGGTGTGTGTTTGATGATGTAGACCAGGGGTGTTCAAACTTGGCCCTTTTATGACTCGTGGACTTCAACTCCCAGAATTCCTCAGTCAGCACGGGGGAACTATGGCCCCTTCATGACTCGTGGACTTCAACTCCCAGAATTCCTCAGCCAGCACGGGGGAACTATGGCCCCTTCATGACTCGTGGACTTCAACTCCCTGAATTCCTCAGCCAGTGTGCCTGGCTGAGGAATTCTGGGAGTTGAAGTCCACAAGTCATGAAGGGGCCAAGTTTGAAGACCCCTGACCTGAACTATTTTGTAGAGCTGACACCTGGGGAGTTAGAACAGGTAATGGACAAATCTGAAAACCTGATTTGTGAAAACAGGATGATTGGCAAGTGGCTGTGTCAACCTATACATCTGTCATTACAGAGATAAACCCTCATCTTCCTGTTGGCCTGTTTTCTTGTTGATATGAGTCTTTCTCTGAAGTTTTCAGAGCAAAAATATGGAAGCGGTTTACTCTTCTTTTTTCTGGGAAGCTTTATTGACTTCCCAATCTAAGTCCACATTCCAGGGATTGCCTGGTGGTGTCCTTTTCAGGTGCTAACTCAGCCGACCTTGTTTAGCAATTTGAACATAGCTGGGCTCAGGTTGTAGGGATTGGTACATGGACTAGCTCAGGGGTAGGCAACCTTGTCTCTTTTATGACTCGTGGACTTCAACTCCCAGAATTCTTGAGCCAGCATGGCTCAACTTGGAAACCTCTCACTTTCTCCTCAGCATGGCTGGCTCAGGAATTCTGGGAGTTGAAGTCCAAGTGTCATAAAAGAGCCAAGGTTGCCTACTCCTGGTCTAGCTATTCCTATTCTCTCAACCATGGCAACTTCAATATGGATAAACTTCAACTCCCAGAATTCCCTAGCCACCAAAACCCAGTTGTTCCCCAAAGGTCTCAAACTCCAGAGGTGGAGCAAAATTTAGAGGCCCTAAGACTGTATACACTCAGCAAACATCTGGAATGATCCTCAGCCTTACCTAGCCCAGTCCTATGAAAGCTACCCAAGAGCCCAAGGGTCTTCAAACTTGGCCCTTTGATGACTTGTGGACTTTGACTCCCAGAATTCCTCAGCCAGTGTGCCTGGCTGAGGAATTCTGGGAGTCGAAGTCCACAAGTCATCAAAGGGCCAAGTTTGAAGACCCCCTGCAACAGCCCTTCTTGATCTAATGGGTTGTGAGCTTTGGGCTACCACCAATGGAACAAAAACTTGTAGAAGAACTCATTGGCTTTGAAGCGAAAGCCTTTTTCTGGGACGTAACTCTGGAAAGAGGCCTTGTAACCTTTGGCTTCTATGTCCATCTTGATGCAGTCCAGAAGATCCAGAATGCTCGGGGCCGCTTTCCATGGGCCAAACTGGACCACCGATTTCTTGGAGGTATCTAAAATGCTGAGGGCATCACTACACCTCGCCACATCTTCCAAAGTCTTCATCACGCAGAGCATCACGCTGGATTGGCGGGAGGCCACAGCTTCTGCCCGGGCAATTCGGATCATCAATTCGATGTTTTCAGAATAGTTGGGCACCCGGTCAAGAAACTGCTTCCTGGCCACCAGCTCACCAAAGATTTGAGGGGATTCTTCCAGTTGTTTGATCAAAGGCTTGAGCTCATAGTAGACGGCTTCCTTGTAAACCTCCTCAACGTTTTGCAAGGGGACGCAATCACCACGCAGATACTCCAGGATGTATTTAAAGTAAGTTCCAGGCCGGTCTATGAAGATTCGGCCCGCTGAATCTGTTCGGGGCTTGGCCTGGCTAAACATTTCAGCCAGTTTGGATCCTGGGTGCCTCTTCAAAGTGTTCAGCGTGGTGGTGAAGATCTCTCCACCAATGTTCAACTCAATGATCTGGCACCGCTGATGAGAAAAGGAAGGGGAAAATAGGCGGCATCTCAGTTTTGAGAAGGGAAAGAGCAGGGACAGCCACAAAGATTGAATTAAAATAGCATTTCAATCAATCATGCATTGTTTTAAAGCAGTTCTCCTTACACAGGGTTCTTCAAACTTGGCCCTTTTATGACTTGTGAACTTCAATTCCCAGAATTCCCCAGCCAGGCATGCTGGCTGAGGAATTCTGGGAGTTGAAGTCCACACCTCTTAAAATGGCCGAGGTTGAGAAACACCAGTTTAGCTCTTTCTGAGTTAGCATTATTTCCCCCTCACATTATGTCAGGGGTCTTCAAATGTGGCCCTTTTATGACTTGTGGACTTCAACTCCCAGAATTCCTCAGGCAGGCATGCTGGCTGAGGAATTCTGGGAGTTGAAGTCCACACCTCTTAAAATGGCCGAGGTTGAGAAACACCAGTTTAGCTCTTTCTGAGTTAGCATTATTTCCCCCTCACATCATGACAGGGGTCTTCAAACGTGGCCCTTTTATGACTTGTGGACTTCAACTCCCATAATTCCTCAGCCAGGCCTAACCCTTCTTTGTCAAATAAGACACAATTTACTGGATTGCCGTGACATGCTTATCAACCTATAGTTCAGAAAGACACACCAAGAAGCTATAATGGAGTTAGTTTGCTTCTTTGGGGCTTAGTGTGACTTATACCACTAACCTTGCTTTTATAATATCCTGGTTTAGGATGCTGCGTCAATCTATACACGTATATGCAGACCGTTGCATATAGATCATATCAATTTCTTTGCCTACCCTCCCTTTCGTCAAGAACTGAATTTGCCTGGTTTTGACTTAGGCCATACGGAATCTAGGTCTGTCTTGTAAACCACAGTTTATGGCTTGATGCAGTGTTTGTCAGCTTCAGCAACTTTAAGATGGGTGGACTTAACAGAATAACAGAGTTGGAAGGGATCTTGGAGGTCATCTAGTCCAACCCCCTGCTCAGGCATGAAACCCTATACCATTTCAGACAAATGGCTGTCCAGTCTCTTCTTAAAAACTTCCAGTGTTGGAGCGTTCACAACTTCTGGAGGTAAGTAGTTCCACTGATTAATTGTTCTAACTGTCAGGAAATTTCCCTTTATTTCTAGGCTGCTTCTCTCTTTGATTAATTTCCATCCACTGCTTCTTGTCCTGCCTTCTGGTGCTTTGGAGAATAGCTTGACTCCCTCTTCTTTGGAGCAGGCCCTCAGATACTGGAACACTGCTATCATGTCACCCCACGTCCTTCTTTTCACCCAATTCAACTCTCTTTAGCGCAGTAGAAGATAACATTATAACCTCAATTAATTTTAAATTTACACAACAGTATATACTAGCCATTTCTATAACAACAAACTCTTTCCAGTATCTCAACATCATTTCTATATCGTGGCGACCAAAACTGGACGCAGGATTCCTAGTGTGGTCATACCAAGGCGTTATAAAGTGGTATTATTAACATTTTATATAGCGTGCTGGCTGGGGAATTCTGGGATTTGAAGTCCACCCGTCTTCAAGTTGCTGCAGTGGACAAATCCTTTTCTTAGTGCAGTGGTTCTCAACCTGTGGGTCGGGACCCCATTTGGGGTCGAACGAACATTTCACGGGGGTCGCCAAACAACGCAGTCCGCCATTTTTTTCCCCCTTTTTCTTAGCTGTGCTACTCCCTTTTATTCTATTGGCTTTTGAAAGCCAATAGAATAGACTCTCTTGAATAGAGTCTAATTCTATTGGCTTTCAAAAGCCAATAGGAATTGTCCAGGCTGTCTCTGCCCTGCTGAGCCCGCCAAAAGTCCCATTCTGCAAACGGTGCTGCACCAGTTGAGTAGTCCTCGACTTACGACCGGTTGAGTAGTCCTCGACTTATGACCGGTTGGGGGTCGCGGCATTAAAAAGGTTGAGAACCACTGTCTTAGTGTGTTGCGTGCTCTCAGTCCACTGACTCCACAATGCACAGACCAAACAAAGGCTCCATTGAAGCAAAGCTGCAGATACTACAGACCCACAAAACTGTCTTGCACTTTTCCTCGCTGCATCTGCTTCTCAAACCTGTCCTATCTACCCACCTGCTCTTCAAGGGCGGCAAAACGTGCCAGAGAGGGGATTAAACTCATTGCCTACCTCCTTTTGCTACGTTCCCTCATGCTTACCGTTGGCGAGCTGGCCAAACTTTGTTTTCCAAGGATCTTAGGCTCTGGAGAATTACTCATTTTTTCTCTCCTCTGGCACTGGAGATCCAGAGGTCTAGCAGTTAGCAGCTGGTGAGTTATTGTTGAGAACGGATTAGCTAACCGGTCTTCCTTTCCAGCTTCTTGTCACCACCCTGCAGCACACCAGTGTCCATTCACGCCCCGTTGCACACTAGACATTCCTTCCAGGTGAAAACAGCGTAACCCGAGCACCTGTAGGCGGACATTTTGCGTTCAGGACACCTGCAGAGGTGGCACTGCCCCCTGAGGTAGGAGGAGATTTCCCTGGCCAGACTTTTCCAAATTCCTGCCTCCAGGCAGACACGTCAAAATAGCCAGCCAGCCCAATCAGTTCTCCCTCATCTCTTTTGCGCCTTCGGCAAACAGTCTCACCAAACAAGCATCGCCCTCAGCTCAGCTGATTCTGAATTCTTCTGCCTGGCTGAAGATAGCCAATCTTCTCGCCTGAATCTGAACAGCTCAGCCCTGAATTGCTAGTTTTGCAAGATCGACCTATTCTTCCAAAGCACCCAAGAGCAGGACAAGAAGCAATGGATGGAAACTTAACGAAGGAGAGAAGCAACCTGGGACTGACTAGGCCAGGAAAATGCACAACTGATAGTGAAGCACAGACAGTCCTCAACGTACAAGAATGATCAGGGACTAGAGGCTAAAATGTAGAAGGAACGGCTGCAGGAATTGGGGATGTCTAGTCTAATGAAGAGAAGGACCAGAGGAGACATGATAACAGCCTTCCAATATCTCAGGGCTGCCCCAAAGAAGAGGGAGTCAAGCTCTTCTCCAAAGCACCTGAAGGCAGGACAAGAAGCAACAGATGAAAACTCATCAAGGAGAGAAGCAACCTGGGACTAAGGAGAAATTTCCTGACAGTCAGGACAAACGTACTGAGGAGAGATCAAACCAAGATTCAGGACAAATTTCCTGATAGTGAGAACAATTAATCAGTGGAATGGCTTGCCTCCAGAAGTATAGTATAGGGCAGGGGTGTCAAACTCAATTTCACTGAGGGCCGCATCAGCATTGCGGTTGCCCTGGGGTGTGTGTGGCCAGAATGGGTGCAGCCTACTGGTGGGCATAACCAGTTCTACATCGTTCGCATCAAGGGTGCCTGTGGGGGCCTGGGCAGGAGTGAGACAGATCTGAGGGTCTCTGGCAGAAGGGGGTGGGACCGGGGCAAGTGCCAAGGCATTGTCCACCGGGGCAAGTGCCAAGATGGCCACCACAAAATTGTATATTGGCTTCCGGCCGGCCTGGGCCAGGGCCAAGGCAGCGGGGGCCGTTCCCTCACTGTTTCCAGAATGGCTTCGCGGGCCACATGAAACCACTTTGCGGGCTGCATCCGGCCCCCGGGCCTTGTGTTTGACAAGTCTGGTGTAGGGGTACCTTGCTCAAGAGTATTAACTGTGAGACGGATCTCGGAGTCCTAGTGGGCAATCACCTACATATGAGCCAGCCGTGTGCTGCAGCTGCCAAAAAGGCCAACACAGTGCTAGGCTGCATTAACAGAGAGATAGAATCAAGATCAGGTGAAATTTTAATACCACTTTACGATGCCTTGATAAGGCTACACTTGGAATACTGCATCCAGTTTTGATCACCGCGATGTAAAAAAGATGTTGAGACTCTAGAACAGTGGTTCTCAACCTTTCTAATGCCGCGACCCCATAATACAGTTCCCCATGTTGTGGTGACCCCGAACCACTTATACATCACCGGGTGCCAGGGGCGTGGCCAAAGAAAAGGGGGAAAAAATGGCGGACAACCTTGTTTGGCGACCCCCGTGAAATGGTCGTTCGACCCCAAATGGGGTCCCGACCCACAGGTTGAGAACCACTGCTCTAGAAAGAGTACAGAGAAGAGCAACAAAGAGGATCAGGGGACTGGATCATATAATGAATGGTTGCTGGAATTGGATGTGTCTAGTTTAATGAAGAGAAGGACCAGGGGGGACATGATAGCAATGTTCCAGTATCTCAGGGGCTGCCCCAAAGAAGAGGGAGTCAAGCTATTCTCCATAGCAGGACAAGAAGCAACGGATGGAAACTAATCAAGGAGAGAAGCAACCTGGAACTAAGGAGAAACTTCCTGACAGAACAATTAACCAGTGGAACAACCTGCCTCCAGAAGTGGTGAATGCTCCAACACCGGAAGTTTTTAAGAAGAGACTGGTTAACCACGTGTCTGAAATGGTATAGGGTCTCCTGCTTGAGCAGGGGGTTGGACTAGAAGACCTCTAAGGTCCCTTCCAACTCTTTTATTCTGTTATTTGTCTTTCTGTTAAAGGAGGAGGCTGTGAAAACCCCAAGGAATATCCTCTCACCCCATAGGGCAGGTTTGGGGTGTAAGTCCCAGTACTTTAGGCCAGGTGCAAAAAGAATTTGAAAAGAAATAATAGCAATAACTTTCTGTAAAGTCCCCAGGAAGCCAAATAGGATCTGAAGGAGATTTTTCTCTACAAGAAAAAATTAACCATCCTGTAGATATTTCACAAGTGGGCAAAACACTGAATCGGAAAGAAGGAAGGGAATGAAGCAATACTTGGAATGAAGTTTACTTATCTTTTTTTATTCACAATAAGTTCCTCAGTTCAGTTACATACAAAAAAAATAGCATAAATATCATTCTGGAAATGATTTTCAAACAGTGGTTAATTCCAGCCACACCCTGATAGGGTGGCTGGGCTGATTCAAAAGGTACACAAACCCGGAATATTTCATCTATGAATAATAACTTAATCTTCTTTTCGCTCGAAGTAAGTTCATAACCATAAATATTTGGGGGGGGGGTTATTTCAAGAGACGGTTTGCTGGCGTGAAAGTTCTCTCCTTCGCTTTGAGCGAGTTCAAAACCTCAAAACTCTTTCTAGAAACGGCAGCACGTCGGTGGCAGCATAGAAATGGGTTTTTTTGGAGCAAGGTTTGACAAGGCTCCCAGTCCATCTGTGGTTTTTCAGGCAGCAATAGTGGAGCAAACCTATGAAATAAATCACAAAAGTTCATCAGCAATCTCTCCCAGACAGCACAAAGTCCTAGCAGCAGAAGCTGTTCAAGGTTAGCCAAGCATCTTTATAAATAGCAAATCAGGGCATAATGCTAGAACAGTGATGGCGAACCTTTTAGAGACTGAGTGCCCAAACTGCAACCCAAAACCCACTTATGCATCGTCAAGTGCCGGGTGGGCGTGGCCCATTGGGTGAGCGTGGCCCATTGGGTGGGCGTGGCTGCGGTGGTAACGGTAGACTGGGTGGGACTAAAAAGTTCAATCAATCAATTCCAACTTTGCGAGATCTTTTTTTTCCCCGCGAGAAGTTGAAATTGACTGATTGATTGAATCTTTTTTTTTTTGCACATGGCGGCGGAGGCCTAAAGCGAAAAGGTTTTCTAAAACCCAGCTGAAGGCCTAGGACTGGGGCAACGGCTCACTTGCCCACAGAGAGGGCTCTGAGTGCCGCCTCTGGCACCTGTGTCATAGGTTCGCCACCACTGTGCTAGGAGGTTTTTTTTTCCTACCACGTTCACTCTTGAGCAGTCTTCCCCTACATATATTTGAAATGAGAGTGCTGATAATTAGGGATTAAATCACTGCTACTATTATACATTTTTATCGGGGTACAGAGAATCACGTTTGGGTGTGATTTCTTGCACAGTGGTGGGGTTCATACATCACCGAAAGCCTGTGTAGGCAACATGGTTATTATATGATCTTTATGCTAATAGAGAAATGGAGAGAGGGAGAAGGGAAAATAGGAAGAAAAGGAGGGAGGGAGGGAGAAAGGAAGGAAGGAAGGAAGGAAAGAGTGAGAGAGAGAGTGAGAAAGAAAGCAAGAAAGCAAGAAAGCAAGAAAGCAAGAAAGAAAGAAAGAAAGAAAGAAAGAAAGAAAGAAAGAAAGAATATGGTGAGTGAGGGAGGAAAGGAAGGAAGGAAGGAAAATGGGGAGGGAGAGAGAGAGGAAAGAAGGAAAGGAAGGAAGGAAGGAAGGAAGGAAGGAAGGAAGGAAGGAAGGAAGGAAGGAAGGAGGGAGGGAAAGAAGGAAGGAAGGAAGGCGAGGGGCACCCTGTAGCTTTTGGTCCCCAGAGCCCCTTCTGATATCATAGAGTTTTCCTAGTCCTGACAGATCTAAACATTTGAAATTATTTCCCTTCACAGGTAGTCCTCGACCAAACGACCACAAGCGAGTCCGAAATTTCTGTTGCCAATTGAGAAGGTTGTTAAGTGAGTTTGTCCCACGTTACCACCTTTTTGGCCACCGCTGACTTTGCCTGTTGCAAAACGGGGATCACATGACCCTGGGACACCGCAACCGTCCTAAGTACAGGCCCAGTTGCCCAGCCTCGGAATTCTGATCACGTGCACCACCCGGATGCCGCAACGGATGTGAGTGTGAAAAGCGGTCACAAAGTCACTTTTTTTTTTCAGTGCCGTTGTAACTTCGGCCACTAAATGAACTGTTGCCAGTTGAGGACTCCCTGTACTAAGGAACAAAGAAACACTTTAAGCCTTAGGAAAAAAGCAACGCCTCCTGTTTTCTGTTCTTTAAGCCAGGGCTTTTCAACCAGTGGTACGGGTACCACCCGTGGTACATTGGCACCTGGCAGGTGGTACGCGACCATCCTAGAAAAGTGGTAGCAGGGGACGGGAATGAGCTGAACCGGTGGCAGCACCGTACAAGCCTGAGCGAGAGACGGCTGGAGTTGCAGGGCTGTCAGGGCTCAGCGGAAGCGCCAGGATCAATGCCGCTTTCCAGCTGATCGGCGCTTCTTCGGGACTGTCAGGGCTCAGCGGAAGCGCCAGGATCAGCGCCAGGCTCCAGCTGGAGCTCAGCGCTGATCCTGGTGCTTCTGCTGAGCCCAGAAGAAGCGCCGATCAGCTGGAATGTTGCAGCATCTCCAGGGTCTTGCAATTTACATTCAAATGCTTGGCAACCGATTCATATTTATGACGGTCACAGTGTCCCAAGGTTATGTGAAGTGACCAAAGCCTGCTGCAACCATCCAGCAGATGGGGGGAATAAAAAAACCCCACCCCACCCCAGCTGCCAATCCCCAACAGAAATGCTCACAACAATGAAAACCTCGGACAGGAGGAAGAGTGCCACTGGGCAGGCAGGCAGGTGTCTTGCTCGGCTGTGGCTTGGGAGACACTTTTTTCAGTGCCATTGTAACTTCGAACAGTCACTAAGCAAACTGTTGTAAGTCGAGGACTACCTGTACTTCATCACTTTTTTTCCTTTTTTGGGGGGGTCATCAAGTTTTTGACACCTTGCTAGGCAACTGGTGGTACTCGGATGTTGCCACATCCTAAAAGCGGTACAATGGGTGAAAAGGTTGAAAAGCCCTGGTTTAAGCACCCTCACCCTTGAAATCTAAACTGATTTTTCTATATGGGACAATTTAAGAAGTAAAAAAATCTTGCGAGTGATGGGATGCTGAGCATTCTTCAGCATGAACATAAAACCGAAGGTCTACCTCAAGGAAGGTCCACCTTCCAGATATATTATAAAAGGAAACATCTTACCTCTGACTGCTTCCTAGGGTGCGTTTCTCCACACCTTAGCTCCGGTTGATCCGTTCCATAATTTCGTTGTATTTGGCCGTGACAGCCAGGGCCCTCTGGGTCAAATGATGGAGGACACGATACAGACTCGACAAGTGGTAGTAAAATATGTCTTCCAGGCTGTCCTCCTCCATGTTGTCCTGCTTCTCTTGAGGAGCCACAGGTAACTGCTTCTCTATTCTCAGAGGTAACAGCCCGCCTTCCAGCATCCCCTTGCCGGATTTCAGCAACGTAAAATGTTCAAACAAATCTTTGCCGGCCCCGAAAGTATCTTCCAGGTCTTCTAAGGAGACCCCACGAAGAAGGCTGGGGAACATCACGGTCTGCTCCATCTTCTGGATGGCAGACACGTACTTCTCCGTGGCTGCAGAAGAGAGAAATTCTGGAAGTTGGAAGTCAGCTGGCATCATCAGGTCTTCACCGAGCTGGGAGACGGGCAAGGAACAAAAAAGGTGGACCAGGGTGCCAGGTGGTTGAGGACCGTTTATGTAGCCAAGCTGGGCAGCAAATCAGCTCCCGTCGGCATGATCGGGATGAGTTCCATCAAAGGACACACCTTGTTTTCCAGCCAATCAGACCTTTCTCCCCCCGGATCTTTCTGTGCAGTTGGCAAAGTGGGTTTATTGACAGGTTGGAAGTCTTCCAAATTGGGCCTCTTCCAAAGGTTTGACCCCCAGAGGGTGTGTGGGGCCGGGTCAAGGGATGACAGCTGAGTCATGTTGGACAAGCTCAGCTGGGTAAATTGGAAAATGCCCAATGGAAAACTTTCTGCCAAAGCTTGAGAAACAGTGAAGGATTGCAACAGGAGCCTTACATACATGGATACTCCAAAAGACACAGAAATCATGCATGCTACAGGTGCTTCCATCAGCTCCCGTGGATGTAATAATACCTGATCAATCAATCAATCTGAATAGAGCTGGAAGGGACCTTGGAGATCTTCTAGTCCAGTGGTTCTCAACCTGTGGGTCGGGACCCCATTTGGAGTCGAACGACCATTTCACGGGGTCGCCAAACCACGCTGTCCACCATTTTTTTCCCTTTTCCCTAGTTGTCCTACTCCTTCTTATTGCTGGCCACACCCACTTGAGGTCACCACAACATGGGGAACTGTATTATGGGGTCACGGCATTAGAAAGGTTGAGAACCACTGTTCTAGTCCAACCCCCTGCTCAAGCAGGAGAATCTATACAATTTCAGACAAATGGTTGTCCAATCTCTTCTTAAAAATCTCCAATGATGAAGCGCCCACGATTTCTGGAGGCAAGCAGTTCCACTGGTTAATTGTCCTCACTGTTAGGAAGTTTCTCCTTAATTCCAGGTTGCGTGTCTCCTTGATTAGTCTCTTGACAAATTGTCCATTAGCTTGCAATTTGCAATTTAATATCACGTCTGATGTCTGTGAAGCTGTCTGGCTTTTAGAAGAGTTTTTTAAATCTATTATTTGAGTTGTGTATAACTTTATTTATGGATTTGTTGAATTTATATAGCCATCCACCTCAATATAGACCTTGGAGAATAGCACAGATCGTCCTCGAATCAATCAATCAATCAGGATAGATCTGGATGGGACCGAGGCCATCTAGTCCAGCCCCTGTTCAAGCAGGAGACCTTGGCATATGCCATTTCAGATAGGTGGCTGTCCAGTCTATTCTTAAAGACATCCAGTGATGAAGCACCTACAACTTCTGGAGGCAAGTGGTTCTACTGGTTAATTGTCCTCGCTCTTAGGAAGTTTCTCCTGAATTCCAGGTTGCTTCTCTCTCCTTGATTAGTTTCCATCCATTGTTTCTTGTCCAGCCTTCAGGTGTTTGGGGGAATAAATTGACCCCTTCCAAAGGTGCTGTCATGGTTTCAATAGATGAAACCAGTCAAAAGAACTTCCAAGGAAGATTTTTTTCCTTAAAGAACATTTTATTAGGAAACAAAGTATCGGCACTTACATAGTTGAACCCAAAACTGAAATTCCCTCCTCCCAGATACGAAGTAACAAGTTACACTTCCCACCCCACAAAAGCTGTCGGAAATCACATTCCCCAATCAGCACAAAACGCGGGCTTTTCTCTCCGGCTCTTCAGCCCGCCAAAACCTGATCAACCATGTCCTTGAGTTCCCACACGACTGCATTTTTTATGGCTAGCTAAATCCTCAAAATAAAAGTTGGAATTAAGATTGCCGGGAGAAATATCAACAACCTAAGATATGCAGATGATACCACTCTAATGGCAGAAAGTGAAGAGGAACTACCACTCTAATGGCAGAAAGTGAAGAGGAACTAAAGAGCCTCTTGATGCGGGTGAAGAAGGAGAGTGCAAAAGTTGGCTTGAAACTCAACATTAAGAAAACCAAAATCATGGCATCCGGCCCTCTCAATTCCTGGCAAATAGATGGGGAAGAAATGGAGGTAGTGACAGATTTTATTTTTCTGGGCTCCAAGATCACCTCAGATGGGACTGCAGCCAAGAAATTAAAAGACGCTTGCTCCTGGGGAGGAAAGCTATGGCAAATCTAGACAGCATATTAAAAAGCAGAGACATCACCCTGCCAACAAAAGTGCGTATAGTCCAGGCCATGGTTTTCCCAGTTGCAATGTATGGCTGTGAAAGTTGGACCATAAGAAAGGCTGAGCGCCAAAGAATTGAGGCCTTTGAACTATGGTGCTGGAGAAGACTCCTGCGAGTCCCTTGGACTGCAAGGCGTTCAAACCGGTCAGTCCTAGAAGAGATCAACCCCGACTGCTCTTTAGAAGGCCAGATCCTGAAGTTGAAACTCAAATACTTTGGCCACCTAATGAGAAGGAAGGACTCACTGGAGAAGGGCCTAATGCTGGGAAAGATTGAGGGCAATAGAAGAAGGAGACGACAGAGAATGAGATGGCTGGATGGAGTCACTGAAGCAGTAGGTGTGAACTTAAATGGACTCCAGAAGATGGTAGAGGACAGGAAGACCTGGAGGAACGTTGTCCATGGGGTCGCGATGGGTCGGACATGACTTCGCAATTAACAACAACAACAACAAAAATCCTCAAGCATTTGCCCCATTCCCCCATCCTACATCTAAACTCTAAGGCACTTTAGAAGCAAAGGTAAAATGGCTGCTGAATCTCAGTTGTCAGAGTGTGGACATCCATTGTCACAGCGTTGACTGGTGCTTTTTCAGGAGGCAACTGGACTTTCTTGTTTTTCTTTGAAGACGTTTCTCTTCTCATCCAAGAAGCTTCTTCAAGCTCTGACTGGATGGTGGGGGAATGGAAGGATTTATACTCCTTGTAGACAGCTGGTCATTTGCATCCTTTTAGAGCAGGGGTATCAAACTCAATTTCATTGAGGGCCGCATCAGCATTGCGGTTGCCCTCAGGGGGCCCGGTGCGTGTGGCCAGGGTGGGTGCGGCCTACTGGGTGGGTGTGGATGGGTGAGGCCAACTGGGTGGGTGTGGATGGAGGTGGTGTGGCCTACTGGGTGGGTGTGGCCAGCTCTACATCATTCACATCAGGGGTGCCTGTGGGGGCCTGGGCAGGAGTGGGATAGATCCGAGGGTCTCTGGCAGAAGGGGGTTGGACCAGGGCAAGGGCCAAGGCATGGTCCACTGGAGGAGCCTCACTGTTCCTCTTAGGCCTTGCGGGGGGGGGGCTTATGGAGCTAAGACTGAATGCGTTTCAGCATAGATGGCCACCACAAAATTGTACATCGGCTCCCGGCCGGCCTGGGCAGCGGGGGCCGTTCCCTCACTGTTTCCAGGATGGCTTTGCGGGCCACATGAAACCACTTCGCAGGCCGCATCCGGCCCCTGGGCCTTGTGTTTGACATGTCTGTTTTAGAGGGTCATTGAGGCCACCTGGAGGTGTACCTGTGTCCTCAGGGTCACCTGAGCTGTGCAAATGGGTGTGGAGCTGAAAGGATTGTGTGTGTAGTTGTGCTTTCTGCAGGATGATTCTGCAGCTCCACAACATAATCCATTTTAGCAGTTCCAAGAAGGCTCCACAACCCTGAGGACACAGATAAATCTCCAATGACCCTCTGAAAGATGGCAAATGACTAGCTGTCTGCAAGGAGTATAAATCCTTTCCTTCCCCACCATCCAGTCAGAACTGAAGAAGCTTCTTGGGATGAGGAGCGAAAGGTCATCAAAGAAAAACAAGGAAGTCCAGTTACCTCCTGAAAAAGCACCTTTGGGACAATCCCTGACCTGGAGGACTGAGAAGCTCCATGGACAACTGGCCTTACACAATTTTCTGCCTCCGCCTCTTCTCCCTCCCCTCAGTGTGTTCCTCCCTTGGTCCCACAAAGCTGTTTTAGACTCTGGACTGAATCTCCTGATGCAATTTCATTGCTTCACTTTGGTTCCAGCTCTGCTGCATCATCCAGATTCTTGTCATCATCTGGCTAAATCAGGCTCTGGATTTTTGCCCTCAGACCTTGCCCAGATGGGATGGTCCCGGCTTGGCAGGAACAAGAACGCCGCAAGAAGGTAAACTTGCCACGAACAAGCCACATCCCAGCGGCGTGGCTGTTGCGACACAGGTTGATGTCTCTTTCAGGATGAGGTTGAGGTACCAAATCCCTTGAGGGGCCTTGATTCTAATTAAAAGGGGCTGTGTAGAAATGATATGGGGGGGCAGGCTTTAGCACTGTGATAACATTACGAGGAGTCCTCGGCTTACAACGTGTCAGATTAAAGTCTTCATCCTGGTTCATCCAAGCTGGGAATAAATAAGCAACATGGTGACTGCTTTGGGAAGATGGTTACAGTTTATTAAAGAAGCAGAAAGATGGTTCTTGCAGGAAAGAGCTGAGGAAAGAAGAAGGGCTGAGCACATGGGCAAGGGGTTTTTATACCCTCTCTAGCCTTTTGTTTGGAATAGTTTCCTGTTCAAAGAAAAACAAGGAAGTCCAGTTACCTCCTGAACTTTGAGGCTATTTCTGAGTGTTTTTCTAGGCCTTGATATCTGTGGTTTAATCCTATTATCATATCCTGCTTCCCTGGTGATGGGGCTAATGACTCCTAGAGATTGGGTGGGGTATGCAGATTTTAAGTCTCTTTGCCTTGACAAACTTTCTGATGGTTTTACATTTGCATTTCTATTCTATTCTATTCTATTCTATTCTATTCTATTCTATTCTATTCTATTCTATATCGTGGGCGCTCCATCACTGGAGGTTTTTAAGAAGAGGCTATACAGTCACTTGTCTGAGATAATATAGGTCTCCTGCTTGAACGGGGGGGGGAGGGGGCTGGACTAGAAGACCTCCAAGGTCCCTTCCAGCTTCTATTCTGTTCAATGCAAGCTCCGTCCAGCTGTTTCCTCCCTGCCAATCGGCCCCTCCGCGCGAGCCCCGCCCTGGCGGAGAACAGCCACGCCCCCCGGCCAATCCGGGCTCGGAGGCGGCAGGGAGGGGCCGGCGCTGCGGA